CTGGTTGGAAGCTTGGTCATGGTGAGCTAGGCATGAGCTATTGAGCTTGTTGGAAGCTTGGTCATGGTGACATGAAGATGAGCTAGGGCTACTGGTGGGATTTATTGGTGAAGTGCAGCAACCAATTCTGATTTTCTAATACAAGTGCATCAACCAATTCATAAGAGAGTGGTTGAGAACTTGGAGGATGTTTGTGAATTTGGAGAATTTGAGAACTTAGGGAAGGAAGAGAAATGTGTTTGTGAAGTGTTTGAGACATGGAGACTTTTGGAAGAGAAGGGAAGTAGAGAGATGTTTGAGAACTTTGAGGGAGAGAAGGGAAGGGAGCTCTAGAGAAGTGTTTGATTAGTTTCCAAGTTTCAATTATGGTTCATGTTCTTATTTATTATGCTTATAAGTTAATATGCTAGTTTGAATGATTGATCACCATTTAGTCTTGCATGTTAGCTATCTTGGTTTGAATTAAGAGTATACACCATGCTTTAATTCGAATTGAACTATGAATAGGAAGAGTATGTATGGACATTCGACAACAGGGATTAGATACATGCTTGGTTGTTTAAATTGTTCTTCTATGCTTAATGGGTTCCTAATGCTTAATTTTAGGTTAGACAACAAATGATCAAATTAGGGAATTAGGAACACAAGGTTATGACCAAACACCATGGCTTAATCATACTTTAGCTAGAATCAATCCATTAATCTAATTGAACTTGGGAACTTATCTGCTTGAGTTAGTTATTTCTTTCTTCCTTGTTTTATTTATTTCCTTTCTTTTTCATTTCTGTTTTGTGTAGGGAAACTAAATTGGATCATTCAATCACCAATCCCTGTGGAATCGACCTCGCACTTACATATGCTAAACTACCAACGGTTCGTGCACTTGCGAGTATCACAAGTTGAGGATGCAACTTAATCCATTTTGGTGCAGCTGAATCTACGCAACATCATTCTGGGTGGTTTTGTTGGATCTATGCTTTTCCTAGAGTCTTCGAGCTTGCTATGCTCTTTACAGGTTTCTACAATGCATTTTCTCTCCTCAATGTTGGAGGTTGCGTCACATCGTTTGGTCTTAACCACTGTCATCGACTCTTTGACTCCACGGATGTTTCTTCTTTTGTTTATCTTTGGTGGAACTTATGGAGTTTGGGATGCCCTTAAAGTGCAAATAACACTTATTTCTTGAATTCTGGTAGCGCAACTCCTACTAGGTGTAGCTTGGGTGGCTTGCTCCCCACCATTTTTTGTTGGTTACTGGTTTCTTTTTAGTGGTTGTCGGCTTGCTTTGGTGCCACGGCTTGTGGCTATTGGATTGTGCCGCACATACCTGTTATTGGTGTTAGGGTTTCCTAATGTTGTGTTGTGTTTTGTGGGCTTTTGCCTTTTGTGGGCTTTTTACCATTATGTGGGCTCTTTGCCTTTATGTGGGCTTAATGCCTTTATGTGTGCTTTATGCATTTTGTTAGTTTTATTTGTCGTGGGCTCTATGTCTATTTGTATTGCATTTTGTGTGAACTCAATTATTTGAGTTCATTTTGATGTACTCTGGCTTTGACCTTCTATTTAATAAAACTCGATTCCGACAAAAAAAAAATTAATGATGATTCTTGTTGTTGATACATTTAACTATTGAGATCATATTCCTTATGAAAATCAGTATTTTCAAAGGCATGCCTAAGTCGCGTGAAAGTTGTTTTTTTTAAAGGTTTGCTTCAATGAAACACTACCCCCAAAAAAAGTTCATTGCCAACCAACTTTTCTCGAGGGCCCCCAACTTTCCTCGATAAAAGTGTTTTTTCCGACGAAAAAATGTTGTCTGTTGGAAATATGTCACAGGGTTGGAATTTATTCCGACAAAGGAACGGCCCTTGAAAAAAAGCCTCTATTATCGTAAAAAAATATAATTTATTTGGTGGGAAAAGTTGGCGCCAACTTTATTAACGACAAAAAATATAGCACTATGTGATGGCATGTTTCTCGGTACTTTGAATTGTGATTTCTCTCAATTTAGAACTTGGTTCCTAACCAATTTTATATGCTTGTAAAGCTAATTAGTCACTTTGTGTCCAATGCAAGGACATATTTTCTATACAAGAATTTTGTTAGGGCCACAACAAATCAGTCTAGAACACAAATTGAACAACGCATTCAAGTTAGTACAATATCTGTTATTTGGAGTAAGAACTCCAGCCAATCACCTAATTACATGGGGACAAGACTCAGAGTAGTTAGATGAAAGCACCCATGCACAACGATGGAATGGAATCCGCACCTCATCATGCATTGATTAGGGTCACGACGACACTGTTTCAAAAGTTTCAATGGCTTATTGACATGGGTTTTAGTCGAGCCAATGAGCACATGACAAGTAGTCTTGAATGGCGAGAAACATTAAATTGTTAGGCAAAGATTATGTCTCAAAATTTCATCCAAATGGGAACCCATTTAGTCACTTAGGGGTTGTATTCATCTACATAATCGCTTGTATAGTTATAAGTGATGGTTAAACTTGAATTTCCTTTTTGAGCTAGAGCAGTTAAATTTTTTTCAGGCATTTAGGTATAGTTCCAGAGATGTTGTTCATCGAAAAAAATCCAAAATTTGAACATTAGATGGCATAATTGTGATGGTATGCTTCCATAGAAGTGATTAGATAGCAGAATATCCAAATTTGAAAGGCTAACCCCAAACAATTCAGGCAGTGGCGGAGGCTTGGAGTGGCCCTGGCCCCTGCCGCACCCCCCCCAAAATTTTTTATTTATTTTATCTCTCAACTATTGTATCTATCTATATATATAAAGCAAAAGGCAGAGAATGGTGAAATATTCAAAAATCCCAAATATGCCATTTGTCTAAGAAAAAAATAAAAGCATACAATTTTAATTAAAAGAGGGTGAAATAGTAAAACGCCATTGATTTATAAATAAAAAAAATAAAAATAAAATCGTGTTGTGCTTAACTCGCAGGAGAAGACGGTTGCCTAGAAAATCAAAACAGCTGAAGAACGTGGAGAAAAAATCCATGGGTTCAGAACCCACGAAGCTGGCGGTTTCCACAATTTCAGAACCCATCACCACCATGTTACTTATATTTTCTTCCTCCACTTTACTGGCATCCTTTTCTGCTTCAGAAACCGAAATCGCGAGTAACCACAGTGTAAAGACTGAGCAGATTTCTGTTTCGCTTTCAGCCAATTACGACTCTGTTTGGATCTCCTGGGTTACAGGTTTTGATTTTGTTTTGTTTTCTATTTTTTGATTTTGTACTTGGGTTTACAGCTGTAAGCTTTAAGCTTTATCGTAAATGGAATTTCTTGGCTTTGCAATTGAAAAGTTTTGATTTTTGATTTTTGATTTTTGGCCAATTGGGTTGTTCGTGAATTTTTGTTGTAGGTGTGGGAGCAAATTTCCTCGGTTCCCACAGTAGGGGAATCGCAAATTGGCTACAAGATAAAGCCATTGGACCCCAAAAGTGTGGCAAGTGTTGTTCGTTATGGGAAGCTGAGATATCCACCAACGCATGAAGCAGTGAGTTCTGCGAATCTTCTGCTTCTTTGAATTTTGTGGGTTTGCAATTGGGTTTCAGTTTCTTATAAATTTTTAATTCTTTTTCAGGGATTAATCTCTCTCTCTCTCTCTCTCCCTCTCTCTCTCTCTATCCAGGGGGTTTGGCATCATATATCAAAACTGCTAGAGAACTCTTAGCCAATTCAAAAGCTGGAAAGAACCCATTTGAAGGCTTCACACCTTCTGTAAGTGTACATAGGTTTCATATATTTAAATATTATATACATCGGATAAAGTTGATGATATCTGTCTTTCTCTGTGTCTACTAACACAGAGAACTGTAAGAGCATCCAGTGGGGGTGTAAATTCGGGGGTGTAAAGCCACTTTTACATCCCCTTTACACCTCCGGGGTGTAAATATGTTCTTTGCTCCAGTGGGGGTGTAAATTCAGGGGTGTAGCCGTGGGTCCCAGTTTTTTATGTTGACTTTTCTTCATTTTTATTCTCTTTTCTCGGGTGGGTCCCGCCTGCAAGGGATGTAAAAATGGATATAAATATACATTTTATTTTACATCCCCATGGTGGTGATGTATATTTACATACATTTACATCTCACCATTGGAGACGATTCCAATGACTCGGGGTGTATATTTAACATACACCCCCATATACACCCCCCACTGTGGATGCTCTAAGTAAACTTGATATGTTAATGGTCTGTGCTATTAAAAGGAAATAAGCCAATTAGAAAACTACCCTAGTAACATATCAAGTTTAACTATGTCTCCAGTTTTCTAATTCGTTTTACACTGTAATTAAACATTCTCTGGATAACTGGTATAAAACCATTGATACATATGATTTCATTTGACGTGGCTGTGCTATTAATATTGTTTATAGAACATTGGTTATTAAATGACTTCTGATCGACAACATGAAACTTGATAGAGTGATACTTGAGCAATGACATTTCAGGTTCCAACAGGTGAAACATTGACTTTTGGTCATGTCCACTATTATTTGGGTTAAATTGGGAAATTTGTTATATACCTTGGTGGTTGTTTATACCTTTTGCTTGACTTACAAGCTGTTTTTAGATGTGCTGAACTGAAACTGGAGTTCTTTTTATTAATGCATGTATATTTCTGATATTTCATTCAAGGTGTGCTGAACTGAAACTGGAAGTTCCTTTTATTTGCAGAAAGCGGAAATTGCCTCGAAAGAGAAAAATAGGGCATCTGCTGTTGCACTGAACGCTGAGATTCGGACGCGCGATTGCTAGAGGAGGTTCCCAAGTTGCATAGGTTGGCTGTAAAGGTCAGCATTTACTATTTTAATGATTTTTGGCAATGTGAGCATTTGTAATTGTGCATTTCGTTAAATTGTTTGAGTTCCGCGAATGTTCTGCTTCTTTGAATTTTGTGGGTTTGCAATTGGGTTTCAGTTTCTTATAAATTTTTAATTCTTTTTCGGGGATTAATCTCTCTCTCTCTCTCTCTCTCTCTCTCTCTCTCTCTCTCTCTCTCTCTCTCTCTCTCTCTCTCTCTCTCTCTCTCTCTCTCTCTCTCTCTCTCTCTCTCTCTCTCTCTCTCTCTCTCTCTCTCTCTCTCTCTCTCTCTCTCTCTCTCTCTCTCTCTCTCTCTCTCTCTCTCTCTCTCTCTCTCTCTCATTGAGCCACCCACAATCTAACAGTGGGATCTTTACTTCTCTCTCTCTCTCTCTCTCTCTCTCTCTCTCATTTTTGGTTCCTGATAGAATTTTTGCTTCAATTTCTGCTCTTTTAGGCTTATTCAATGAAGAAAGCATTTAGGTTTGATCTGTTTACTATCTCTAATTTTTGGATCCTAATGGAGATGATGTGGCTCATAGAATCAAAGCACGATAGGTAAAATGGAGGGTTTTGTTAAGCATATGAAAAACAGATAATTTCATTGATAAAGCCTGGGCATGTGCACACCATCAACCATTCTATATGCTTTGGAACAAAGTTGGTTTTATAGAAAATTCAAAGACCATAATTTATTCATGATTTAAACATTGTAATTAAACATGCTAGATAACACCATTGCCTTAAAAGGGCAGCGTTTCTGGAAAATGTTGTTTTGCTGGTGGGTTCCGATACTATTTTATTTTATATTTTCAATTGTCTTCTGATTGAAATTCACTACAGGTGACTCGGCTTAATTCAAGCTATCCAGGGGGTTTGGCATCATATATCAAAACTGCTAGAGAACTCTTAGCCAGTTCAAAAGCTGGAAAGAACCCATTTGACGGCTTCACAAAAGATTACCTTTTTTTTTTTGTTTTTTCCCCCCGGATCTGAAATTGAATTTTGTTTTGCAAAATTGGAGGCGTTGGATCTAAGTTACAGTTCGATACTCTCTGTGTAATCACCGTTTCTTTCATATAGCGTCCATTTCAACTCAATTGAGCAATGAAGATAGAGGAATGAAAAATGTTAAATCATATACATGATATGCTTTGGAACAAAGTTGGTTTTATAAAAAATTCAAAAACCAGAATTTATTCATGATTTAAACATTGTAATTAAACATGCAAGATAACACCATTGCCTTAAAAGGCAGTGTTTCTGGAAAATGTTGTTTTGCTGGTGGGTTCCGATACTATTTTATTTTATATTTTCAATTGTCTTCTGATTGAAATTCACTACAGGTGACTCGGCTTAATTCAAGCTATCCAGGGGTTTTGGCGTCATATATCAAAACTGCTAGAGAACTCTTAGCCAGTTCAAAAGCTGGAAAGAACCCATTTGACGGCTTCACACCTTCTGTAAGTGTACATAGGTTTCATATATTTAAATATATTACACAATCTGATAAAGTTGATGATTCTGGATAACTGGTATAAAACCATTGATCCATATGATTTCATTTGATGTGGCTGTGCTATTAATATTGTTTATAGAACATTGGTTATTAATTGACTTCTGATCGACAACATGAAACTTGATAGAGTGATACTTGAGCAATGACATTTCAGGTTCCAACAGGTGAAACATTGACTTTTGGTCATGTCCACTATTAATTGGGTTAAATTGGGAAATTTGTTATATACCTTGGTGGTTGTTTATACCTTTTGCTTGACTTACAAGCTGTTTTTAGATTGTTTTGTTTATCTGATTAGCTGTGTAACTTAGGATGGTGTTGGTTTTCATGCAAACTGACTAAAAAAATGGGTTTAGATTTTCGTATAAAACAAATGACAAATATAAAAAAAGCAATGCAAACTAATACAAGAAGGCAACCAAGTTAAAAACTTTACTTAGGAAATGGTTTTATATCATTTTGTAAAATGAGTCTTTTAGGATTTCGAATTATACCCTCTGACAAACTTTGCTCCTTTAGTGCTCTGCCTACTCTTTTTAACTCATTCAATTGGTTTCAATTTGATTGACATGAAATTTTGATTGTTTCAGGAGAGCTTGGGTACGAAATCCAAATACGAGAATCAGTCGTGAGCCCAAATTGTCTAACCATTCTTCGCTTTACTCTCTTTCTAGCAGTCGTGAGCTTGGGTATGAAATTTACTCTCTTTCTAGCAGGTTTTACCATACTGTGTGTAGCTAGCAGGTTTTACCGTACTGTGTTAATTTTTTGGCACTGCCTCACTGTCATAATAATCAGTATTGTCGTTTTGAGATGCATTGAGAATGAATTTGGTTGATCTTTCAGTCAAGTTAATAGGACCACCATCACAACTTGAACAAAACAGCTAAGTCTATCTGACAGGGATAACCTGTAGATTCAGCAGTGGAAAAGGCTTTCCTCTACCAGTTTAGTAGAACCTTATAAAATTTCCAGATTCCCTTTCTAAAATCTGTTAGTTTTCACCCTGACTCTATTGAGTTAATTCCCGAATCCCTGTCCCTTGGTCAATGGCTCAGGTTTTGGTGGTAACCATCCATTTAGGATTCTAAAAGGCCCAAGGTTCAATTGTTTCCAAGCAAAGAACATAAAGATTGACAAGTTTCCATAACGTTTTCTAATGTTCTTACACATGCATGTACCATTTCTGCAGGCAAATCTGAGCAACGCTCTCTTGGAAGGTGCACTTTCCACAGGCAACACATCTTTCAAAGGATCAAACATTACGAGTGCAGGTAATAAATTTGCTCAATCATGATATTTTTGATAGCCTTGACTTAGCCCTTATCATTAGGAACTTCATCTCAAGGTGTGCTTGAATCCATGGGAGTTGTGTTTAGTACTACTAAAATGAGAGTGTCCACTATTATTTGGGTTAAATTGGGAAATTTGTTATATACCTTGGTGGTTGTTTATACCTTTTGCTTGACTTACAAGCTGTTTTTAGATTGTTTTGTTTATCTGATCAGCTGTGTAACTTAGGATGGTGTTGGTTTTCATGCAAACTGACTAAAAAAATGGGCTTAGGTTTTCGTATAAAACAAATGACAAATATAAAAAAAGCAATGCAAACTAATACAAGAAGGCAACCAAGTTAAAAACTTTACTTAGGAAATGGTTTTATATCATTTTGTAAAATGAGTCTTTTAGGATTTCGAATTATACCCTCTGACAAACTTTGCTCCTTTAGTGCTCTGCCTACTCTTTTTAACTCATTCAATTGGTTTCAATTTGATTGATTTTAAATCTACATTTCTCAACTTTAACCAGTTGTCTTCATCACCCAAATAAAAATGTCCAATTGGTTACATGTTTTAATTCTGGGTTTTGTTTTCATTTGTTTTCTTTTGTTTCTGCTGAATTGAAATTACCCCTATTTTGATGTTGCTCCTAATCTCATGTTGTAGGATTCTCTTCCAACGATCTATCCATTGCTAGGTATGGGTATACGCTCACATTCACCTACCTTTACATTACTTTCTTCGTTTGCTAATTATACTTTTTTATCGAAAAAAGGAGCAAGCAGCTGAAAGAAGAACAATGAAAACATTGAACAGGGAAAATCATTTTGCTTGCTCCTTTGTATTTGATTATTATTATACAAACCAAAACAATGAAGACTACAACCTCGACATGCTCAAGGTTGAACTTTGCAATATATGTATTATATTTTGTTTTGTAATTAATTAATCATTTGTATTAATAACCAATCTTTTGTATTAATAATCGATGTACCCTTACTTGATTTATATAAGAAGTTCATTTTCAACGTATGAGTTAATTCCTTAACTTCAATTTTTATGTAAAGGTTTAAAAAAGATATACAACCTTTTATTTTTTTGGAAAGGTTTATATAGCCATTTTAAAGATATTTCGGCATGTGAAAAATATATTCGTTGTAACATAAATCAAATATTAATGCATTGTCGTTATATAAGGAGATGTGTAAAATGTTAATGCATAAATTCCGAATCTATTTAAAGATAAGCTATTGAAATTTAAGAAATTTAAGGTCTTTTCTGTAAGTATCTTACGCTAGGCCTCATCATTTGGCCCGCGGGCTCATGGGCCGATGGGGGCCCGCCCGGCCCATCGAAAAAAAGCCCGGCCCGGCCCGGTCCGTTATGGGCTTTGAGATGGCCCGGCCCGCCTTGGGCCGGGCCGGGCTTGGGCTTGAGTGTTTGAAGCCCGGCCCGATTAGGCCCAAGAAAGTCCGGCCCGGCCCTCCCACAAAAGCCCGGCCTGTTAGGCCCGCATACATATATAATTATGTATAAATAAGAGTTTAGGATTATGATTATATCACTTAAATCACATATATAATTTGTTTCATTTCATTTACTTTTCTTTACTCATTCCTAGTTTTATAATTGGATGATTAGCACATTAATTTAATTTGTGTCAATTATTAATACAACAATTATATATATATAAGATGAACAACATATCATATCACCAAATATAATCATATCACGAAACATAATCGTACCACCAAATATAATTATGCTTTTCTTGAACACATCACCAAACATTTGCATATTCATTCATACCATCCTTTTTAAAAAATGTTTTTTTTATACTTATTATTTTTTAAAATTATTTCTTAAAACGTATTACGGTCTAATTATGTAATAATCTCAAAAACAATACTTGGTTTTATTATTTTTGTAGAAAATCTTATTAAGTTGTGTGACTTTATTAGGTGTTTTATAAATTTGGTTTGATGTGAAAATATTGGAATTAAGTGAGTTTAATCTCAAATTTGGACTAAAATGCCCTTGATTAAGTTTATGATTTTTTTCGATTGAAGTAGGCCCGTTTTGGCCCGGCCCGGCCCGATGGGCTTTCTCAAGCCCGGCTCATGGGTCGGGCTTGGGCTTTGAATTTTCTAAAAAAATCCGACCCGGCCCGGCCCGCTATTTTCTCTCTCCTCTTTAAAGCCCGGCCCGGCCCGGCCCATTGACGAGCCCTATCTTACGCCACAAGAGGCTATATGGAATTTAAAAAAAATGCTAGATTGACATCAATAAAAAAACATTATCTAATTAAAATATTTGGCAATTATTATATAATAACTCAAATCAAATACATGGGCAATTATTATATAATTAAATTAATAACTAAAATCAAATACATGGGCAATTATTATATAACTAGCCTCCTTGCACGCGCTTCCGCGTGTGCGAGGGGCTTTTTTTAATCACGCGCGCTACGCGCGACTTCCAAAGTTCCGTAAATATTTTTTCGCAATTGTATTTATATAGATGTATGTTTCAACAGTTTCATATTTTAATCGCGCGCGTGTGATAAATCGTCGTGTTAAGAATTTTCTTTTATCGCCCGTATTTTTCTAGACGTTCATCTTAACAGTTTACACACCATAAAAGAAAAACTAGAAACTGCTAAGATGGACTTCTAGAAAAATACGGGCGATAAAAGAAAATTCTTAACATGACGATTTATCACACGTGCGCGATTAAAATATGAAACTGTTGAAACATACATCTATATAAATACAATTGTGAAAAAATATTTACGGAACTTTGGAAGTTGAGCGTAGCGCGCGTGATTAAAAAAAGCCTCTCGCACGCGCGGAAGTGCGTGCAGGGAGGCTAGTATATATAAAGCAAAAGGCAGAGAATAGTGAAACATTCAAAATACCAGAAAATGCCCTTAGTTAATGCAAACATTAAGAATTGAAATTATTAATTAAATGAGGATAATAAGGTAAATTCACACTTTTTCATATTTAAAAAAATTAAAATTAAAATTAAAATCAGATAATGGATCCTATTTTTATGGAACACAACAACCCATTATATTTTTTAATTCTAAAATAAATTTAAATTTTTTAAAAAAAGCCTCTCGCTGGCGCGGAAGCGCATGTAGAGAGGCTAGTTATATATAACACATAGAACTAGTACTAAACAACTTATAATTTAAGTTAAAATTCCCTCTAAAACAAATTAGATATGACTAAATTAGAAATATATTTAGCTATAGACATGTAACTATTGAATACTTAAGTGTTTTGTATACTTGTATTTTCTATTCCGGCCCTCCAACTTTACAATTCTCACTTGAATTGTTGGACTGTCTTCAGGTTTTATTTAATGTTTTTCTATCCTTTTGCTTTCTTTTTTGTTTGTATATATACCATGATTCAAAATTGGCTAGTGTAAAGAGGTATTTGAAATCATCATTAAAGTCCTTCTAACCTACAAAATAATTATCGAAGACCACATATTTTTCAAAACCTCATAAATATCTACTTCAGTGAGCCATTGAAATTGGGGTCCAAGTTCCTTGTAAAGGTGAGACACTTAGCCCACGTTTAATTTGGCTATACACGGGGGCCACGGTAGGGTCATTATAGAAACCGACTGTAAGGTTTTATTGAATGGACTCGGTGGAAAAGTTAGCAACGGAGCTTGGATTCCTAGAAATTTGAATCGTGCGGCTCATGTGGCGGCAAAGATTGGTTTGGGAGCGGCAGAGCTGCATAGCTGGGCTAATCAGCCACCACCCTCCTTAGTTCACGTTCTGGAGTCGGATGGGCTACCGTACCCACCTTTGCTAAACATATGTTGGGTTGTATTAGCTAGAATTTTCCTGAATTTATTTTCTAATTTAGTTTGCTTCTCCCTATAATATGTTCCTCAGGTTTCGGAGTTTTTAATGCATTTCTCTAATTACGACCCCCAAAAAAAAAACACGCTCAGGTGCAAACAAGTCAGGATGAAACATTTCCCAGACTAGTAATCCTTCGTTTCTGGGATTGAACTCAAATTTCATTGGTTTATTCATAAGAGAAATACAATAAAAGGCAATTCAGCATCTACATTGAAAAAAAAAAAACCTTGCTTGAATCACAGAAAAACCATGATGTGCATTAGAACATACCAAATAGTTCATGGTAGAAGTTCCAATTACAAAAAATGGTAGAACTTATTTACTAAAGATTGTTTATATTTCGAAGAAACCCTTTATCATCACTCAAATACTCGAAAGCTAGTACAAATATAGGGGCAGTCCTTTGTCCCAGGCATCTTCAATTGAAGGGAAGCATGTTGTCTCAAAGTGTCTGCCTGCGCTAAAGACGAAGGTAAACGGCCCATAAGATTGAGAAAGATAAATCACATAAACCATATGAGTCTAATGACGATAACAAGTGAACAAAATAACGCATGTTCCTTTTATATTACAAAAGGAGAGAATCCTTAGTTTTGGAGGGCAATGAAGTCATGTATTCTTTTGTTTCTGTAAAATATGCATGCATATTCTGGGCCAAGAACAACTAACTCGTATATCATTGAATTTCATAAATAGTATGTGAGAAAGATAGTAGGAATTACAATTTATCTATTAAGTATCCTTTGCTTGGTAATTGCTACCTTCACATACAGCCAATCATTCAAAAAGGTCAAAAAAAAATTGAAGTATGTATATCTGCATGACCTGTTGAGCATAAGAGTGCCACAAACTCCCCAAAATCCAACAGCAAACCTAAGCCCCATGTTGATGTAATATCCTTGCAGTATAAGCCCATCCTGGCCGTCTTGTTTCACCAACACAGGTTGTCCTGGACCTTTATCCTCCTCAAGGCATGTCCTTGGGAGTGGTGCTCCACAAAGCAGAGGATTTCCACCATAAGCATAGTCAAAGCTTTGGAGCTGAGTGCCTATTGGAATTTTTCCAAACAAGTTGTTTTCTGACAAGTCCAACTTACCAAGACTAGCTATCCAAGAAAGACTTGTTGTAATTCTGCCATTTATCTGGTTTCTTGATAAATCAAGAGACTCTGACTCCTACAAATTTCCAATCCTTGAAGGTATTTGACCTGTTAATTGGTTTCTCGACATGTTTAAAGAAATCAAACCAACAAGATAAGTGATTTCACTAAGAATCTCCCCAATCAATTTATTTCTTGAGAGATCAATACTCTTTAGAAGTCCTAGATTACTTTTAAATTTAGCTCTGAATCCTTTCCATGTTAAAGATGCTTCATCATCATAACACCCTGAAATGTATCCTCCTAGATAATCACCTAAAAAGGAACATTGGATAGTTTTACTTGAACTTCCTTTTTGAGTCAAAGTAGTCAAACTATTGAGACATTTGGGTATAGTTCCAGAGATGTTGTTTCTTGACAAATCCAAAAGTTGAATACGAGTGAGATGGCATAATTGTGGTGGGATGCTTCCATAGAAGTTATTAGATTGAAGGATAAGGATAGTCAAATTCAGGAGACTTGCCCCTAACCATTCAGGTATTGATCCCGATAATTTATTTTTCGCAAGATTAAAAAGTGTCAAGTTACTGCAATTCTTGAATTGTGAAGGCAACTCTCCCACAAATTTATTGTTATTAGTCTTAGTGTCTCGATGCTAAACAAGTACCCCATTGTGGTAGGAATTTTTCCAGATAAAGAGTTATAGCTCAAATCAAGAAAGACTAATTTTTTTAAAATGGATCCAGCAATCCAGAAGTTCTCCGAATATATGGTTGCTTGTGATATCAAAAAAAGTTAAATTACTATCCTTGGTTGTGCTAAAAAAAGAAGCTACTGCCACTATAAAATTATTATTGGATAGATCTAGAAGTAACACTTTTGATAGAGTTGAAGGGATTGGACCCTCCAATTGGTTCCAACTCCCATTTAGCTGAGGTGGAAACTCCGATCTCAAATTTTCAATTGTTCCTCTAATTTGATTATGAGAGAGATCCATAAAGATTAATTTATGTGACAAATCCCAAAGCCAACTCGGAATGGTATCAGTAATTCCATTATCAGAAATATCGATTCCAACTGGAAGGGAGGAACCCAATCAAAATGGAAGTTTAAAACTAGAGAGTCTGAGGATAAATCCAACTCCTTAAATTTGAAGAGTTTCGAGAAATGGATTTCTGAAATCACTTCGTTCGAAGAATTCCCACCAAAATCAATAATCTCCAACTTGGACATCTGTCCAATATTTTCAGGTATTCTTCCACTTAATTTATTGCCCCCGAGAAGCAAGTATTTCAATGATAAAAAGTTCGTGAGATCAGGCACTGAACCCATAATCCCATGATTCTCAGAGATATCAAAATCCTTTACAATGCGTTTGGATGAGGAAATTTAAAAGTACAAAGGATTTCATAAATGACGGAATTTAAAATGATGGAAATTAATGTTCTAGAATTTATAAAGTTTCTTGTTTGGGTGACGGATTTAAAACACGAAATTTAACATTTATTTGTAAAGTTTTTTTTTTAATTTTTTAAACTCAATCTCTTGGGATTTTAGAAATGACGACTTTTAGATAGAATTTAAATTTGGGATTTATAATCTCCAAATTCCATGTTTTTTTCCACTCGGAATTTCTAAGTTTTCTGTTTTTTTTAATCCAAACACGGGAATTGGTTCATGTCAATTTAGAAATTCTGAGTTTTGTCAAAATCCCAAGTTTATTTCCCTCATCCAAACGCACCATTATATATTAATTATATTTTACTTGATGCTTAATTATATAATAAGGAGGAAAAAAAAAGTTGGATGTTAATTACTGTTAGTTGGGTGTTAGGGGTTTTTATTCTTTTTTAATTAGGAGTAAATTGGGTTTTTGTTTTAGGATTATTTGTCAACTTTTAAATCCCCTAGATTAAATTTTAATGAGGTGGCATATGGAGAATAAAAGTAAAGCATATCATAACAGAGAAAATCAAAGCAAGGGATCTGGATCCTATCAAATAAACCTTGAAGTTTCCTCATATCTTCATGGTGGATTCAAGGGAGGAACCATGAATTTTTCAACGGGTGGGCTAGCTAAATTTATTAGCTTAAAATTTAATGATTATTTTTTTTGGTACTTACAATTTCTATAGTTTTTCTAGAAATAAAAGTAAACATTAAATCATATAAACCATGCTAGTTCATAGCTTCGTAGACTAATTTTCAATAAGTTTTAACATAAACCAAATAGGGTTTAACACCATAGTGGATTGAACATCTAAGGCTTTTTACCTAGATTGACCTTAGGTTTCTTCATGCATTCATATCATACATGAAAAATTGTTTTATGTAAAAATATTGACTAAGTATGAAAAATGGGTTTTCGAAATAATCATTTTCTCACGATAATTTTTGGCGGCTTTTATTCCTCACATATCAAATAAGAAAACTTGATTTTATGGGATTTTACTATGAAGTATATATTGACCTAATGAGCCATCATTTTTAGCCTAAATCGTATTTTGCACTAAAACCGATTTTTCATATTTTGATTTGGTGGGAATTTGATTTTCTAGTATTTTTATTTGAATTCAAATGGGGGGTACTTCCTTATTTACATTGTAAACTTAAGTAAATTTTTTATATTACTCCATTTACTTAAATGTTGAAAGTGGAAATAAGGTAATCTGTACAACGCCACTGACTCTGCTAATATTGAAAATAAGTTAAATATATAGATTTTTTTTTTCTTAAAAAACAACACTGGGCTACAGTCCATTATAGCCTTTAATGTGGTTCCGCCCTTGAGTGGATTCCAGAGTTTCATGTTTTAGGCTAACGTTTTAGCCATTTATTTGGCATGCTGCATCAGTTCAACAACACCCTATTGGAAAATACCACGAAACTTGGAGCTTAGTTAGCATATTGGAAGATACACATGTATTATCATAACTGTAGCTCTAATATTTTAAATGAAACAGAGAAGACCTTACAATATTGTAAAACAATAAATGAAAACAACGACACCCAATAGATGACGGAATATAAAAATACCCATTAACTAAAGCAGAAGCATGGTATAACAACAATTCCGAAAGTGAATTGAGTAAACATGGGCATGTATTTTCCATATAGCCAAAAGGTCGTAATTCAGAAATTGAATCAATCAAACTAAAAGATAGCTACAAATTCAGTAAGGGTTAGATCATCAGATCTTCAATGAGCTTGAAATCAATGCACTTGGCAGTTTGAGATATTGCACATATAGTTATAGACATCAATTATAGGGCTGAAGTTGTAGAATTGATTGAAATCATATTATTCAGGACAAGTTTGCTGATCAGGGGCTTGATTAGTAATTTAGTAGGCTTCCAACAAATGTTGGTGTGGTGCTCTTCTAATTTTTATACATTTCGATTTTGTTCCACGGAATCAATCTTCTTGGATGAAGCTTGTATCTTGGCTTCCAGTGAACCAATTAGTTTAATCAATTTGACCTGCAAAAACTCATCGATTCGATCATCCCATTGAGTTTCACAGTATAGATCCACCTGCATCCCACTGTCTTCATTCCATGAGGTTAGGGGTGGGCATTGGAACCGCAAAACCGCAAAACCGAACCAAACCAATCCGAAAAAAATCGAAAAAAACCGTGTTGACCGGAAAAGTCAAAAACCGAAATAAATCCAAACCGAACCGGTTCAGACTGGTTCCGGTTCCGGTTTTTCACCCTAAAGAACCGGTCCAATCCGAACCGGTCCAATAGAGTTAATTAATATATATTTTTTATATTATATATATTTATATTTGAAATTATGTATGATGTGTATGCTACTACCATAGGTAGCGCACACACAGGATTACACAAAATAAAAAAGCCTCAAGTGACTTAGGGTTTTTTATTTCTTCGTTTTTTCCTCCCCTCCCATCCCATTACGTTTCTTCCTCCCTTTCGTTTCATACTCAGCCAGCCGCCACCGATTCCAAACCTCTCTCAGAGCCATCACGTCACGCCTCTCTCTACCGCCGCTCTTCTCTCAGCCTCTCTCAGTCGCCGTCATCACGCAGGTCAGATTCTCTCTCTCTCTCTCTCTCTTTTTTTTTTCTTCCCCAATTCGATTTTCTGACTCTCTCTGTCCTCCAGCAAACCGGAGATCCCATTCGCTCGCAGCGTCCCCCTCTTCGTCTCGCATAACTCTCTGTCTCTGTCTCTCTCTCAGGTACTGTTCATCTCCCTCTCTCTCTTTCAGCTCATCTTCGATTCTGTTACTAGGGTTTTGCATCTGTTTGGGTATTTAGGTTTTGATTGTGTGTGCATCTGTTTACCCGCTCCTTGCGAAAAATCAATGCTGGAGGAGCTACCGATTGTTGTTTGCAGATTTATTGTTATTTTTGTTTTTTGATTTTCTGATTTTCTGTTTATTTTGATTTGTATGCATTGAATATGTCATGTCTTGTTCTGGAAAAACCATCACGTACTCCGGTTATTGCTTCATAGTCTTCATAGTGAATTTATGAATGTGAGTCATGCAGTTGGATTGCCTGGAAAAAATGATGTACCAGATCATGGATATTTGGCAATACAGTAAATCTTGTTTGTAATGATTGCGTTTGCAAGATATTTGAATACAGAGTTACTGCTGTAGATGGTCGTTACCAGATTGGAATCTACACTGTACAAGGAATTCAATATGGGGAGGAGATCATATTCGACTACAATTCTGTTAGTGTGGCAATACCCTTGTATCGAATGCTTCATGGGTTTACAGAATTTCTTTACTGATGCATATAGTGCCTTGTGTTTGGCTTCTAGGGGTACGAACGATTCTTTGCTTCAAAACCCAAGTTTGCTGCTTTCACAGCAACAGACATAATCTGTGGGTCTTTTGTTAGCATTTTTAGATTTGCATTATCTGGTTTTGTACTGTTGTAAGAAAATTTATTTGGCTTTTGGAAGTTCTTATTCTTACCTCCATGTTTTCTATGCACTCTTATGGTCTGATTATATTTTTGTACAGGTTGTAAAAAAAGTTAAAGTTCGTATTGAATCAATAGAAGGTTGTAAAAAAAGTTAAAGTTCTATGCACTCTTATGGTCTGATTATGTTTTCTATGTACATGTAAAAAAAGTTAAAGTTCTATGCACTCTTATGGTCTGATTATGTTTTCTATGTACAGGTTGTAAAAAAAGTTAAAGTCGTATATTTTTATAGCTGGAGTAAATCAATTATTATCTGAAGGATTGACGCGTGAGCTGCCACTGTAAGTTAAACCATCTTGCCTTTGAGAAAGCAATGGGTTATTATAAAGGTTTATCTTTCTGTTTATAAATTTATCTTTGTTGTGAACTTGTGAAAATTAATTAGATAATATTATATGCTGTATGTATGTTGCTGCTGTATTAGTTTTAGTTAAATTAGATAATTAGAAAATATTGCTGCTGTATTAGTTTATGTTGTATGTATGTGCTGCTGTATTAGTTTAAGTTCAATTAGATAATTAGATAATATTGCTGCTGTATGTATGTTGCTGCTGTATTAGTTTAATTAGATAATATTGTGTGAACTTTAAGTTAAATCTCTCTCTCTCTCTCTTTATTAGTTTATTGCTGCTGTATGATATTATTGTATGCTGCTGATTTTTGTATTGATAAATAATTAGGTGCTGATTTTTAAATATTAAAAGAGGGATGGACCAATTTGAGCAGTTGTCTAGTAATAGTAATGAAGTATGCTCTTCTTCCGCTTCCGCATCTTCACCATCACCTACTATACCAATAAGCCAACCTCAAGCCCAAACACCTCCTCAACATAGTGGTCTTCCACCATTACCTCCTTTAGAGACTAGAAAGCCATCAAGAGAAAAATCGGAGGTGTGGGATCACTTTGAGAAATATGATATTTAATGAGACTGAGTACCAAGAAAGTAAAATAAAACAATCAGAAGTATATAGAGAAAATGAAAAACAAACCAAGGTCGTTTGGTAATAGAAAATCTATGAACATATACAGTCGGATCAAAATAGAAATGATATTTAATCTAAATAATAAAGTCACAGTATAAACAAAATAACACAAGGAGAGGACCAACCAAAGTAAAAATCCACTGCTTCAGTTTGGAGATGTCTAACTTAAAAACTTGGATCACCTTTAGCCGATAATGAAGAACGAACATTGACTGCAACAATAATTGGAGAAAATCAACTGTCATAACAGAGAAATCAGTTGCAATCTATCACCTATAGCCATCATATCTCATGAAAACTAACAGCTTAAATTTCATAAAGCACAATTATACTAGGAAAACATGATTGCATGACAAACATAATGCGAATCAATTTATGAGTTTATAGTTATTTTGTATAATGACAAAAAAAGAATTGCCTACAAATTTCAAAGCGAAAAATCATATTATACATGATAGGAAAAATAGCTCTGTTTATGAAAGCACATCAACAAGGAAACTCAAATCATATATGAAGGTATAGAAAAACTCATGTGAGAGCTGCACAACAGCTACTCCCACCAAAGAGCAGCCCTCCCTGAATTTCCAAGGAAACAAGCCATGACTTTTTTTCTTTTTTTTCGTTTTTTTTTAAACTGAAGATTGGTTAGGGGTGGGCATCAGGATTGGAAAACTGGAAAAAAATCAGTGGACCAAAAAGTCAACAAATCGGACCGAAATCAGACCGAACCAGTTCCAACCGGTTTCGGTTTCGATTTTACACCTCACCGCACCGAACCAGACTGGTCATATATATATATTTTTTATTTTTACAAAATTTTAAAATCTAATGCCATATTTTAAATGTTATAATTACTATTTTTCCAAGTTCAACTTCAAAAAATTTCTAAATGTATGAATAGGATTATTTGTTAATTTTTAAGCCAAAAAATAAGTTATTTATTAAAAAAAATTAAAAAAATAATAAATTAATAATCCGGTTCAAAATCGAAATTGGTCGGTTTTTGAATTTTTTTTGCCTAAATCGAATCGAATCGAAACGGTTAAATAATACCGATTTTGGTTTTGGTTTGAGGTGAGAATCGGACCGCGCCCACCCCTAAGATTGGTAACTAGATTTGTTTTTGTTTCCTCGTTGACCCTTGATCCTGCCCTTCTAAGTTCTAACAATCAAACCAGCCTCCTTAACCACAAGTTCAAACAAGTAACTTCTTGGTCTTACCTAGTGACCTAATCTAACCTAGTGACCATTGAACTTAAACCGGTGACCCCCACCTAGGCATGATCTTGTGATCCAACCCTATGACATACTGATAGTCATTCTATATAGTTAATTTGAAATAATTAAATTATCTTTAACCAAAAAAAATTTTATTTATTCAGAAACCATTTAAGCAATTATTCTTAATTTTTTTGTGATCCAACCCTATGACATACTGATAGTCATTCTATATAGTTAATTTGAAATAATTAAATTATCTTTAACCAAAAAAAAATTTATTTATTCAGAAACCATTTAAGCAATTATTCTTAATTTTCCATAAAACGTTTTTGCCATAGAGGAGTGACTAAACAAGCATCACAGTAAAAAAAGGCCAGAAACAAAGAAACAACCCAAGTTTGGTCCACAACTAGCAACTGCAGATCAACTAAATACCCAAATATTGGGAACTAAAAGAGCTAATTTTCATATCCTTGCTACCATTTCTCAACAAGGTTCGGTACCAATTTTGGAAAAAGAAATCAAGGGAAGGAAAATGAACATACAGGGTAGAGAGCATTGGGCATTCTAATTAAGCTAATCCATCGACCCAGAGCCACACAAAAGCATAATCAACCAAACAGAATCAATTACACATAACCAAAATCAACACACAAGCAACTTACTGAGATGGAGTGGGAGGATGACGATGAGGCAGCAGTTTGCGATGACATGCCCAGCTCTAGTGAAAACCAAACCAAATAAACATTTTGTCCCCTAAGAAAAATGGTGCTGTTCCAGCGTCTAGTAACCCAGAGGTGTCACATGCCCTAAATTATGTTGCTTCACCAAAATTCCCCCAAAAAAGCCCACAACATAGCTCGAGGGTATTAATGTAAAAACTCACTACCAGAACCTGCCAAATGTCAAATCATAATTAGGGGTGGGCACAGTCCGGTGCAGAGCTCGAATTAGAACTGAAATTAGTACTGTTTATTTGGTCCGGTCCGGTTCAATTTTTAGTAAACATCGGACCAAATCGAACTGGTTGGCCCAATTCGGTTTTCCAATTTGGGCTGGGTTTTCTTTTTTTGGGGTAAAAAATCTGTTTGTGTGCTTCAGTAGCATATAAGATAAAGCCTTGTTTCAGATTCCTGTAAAAATTTGAGACCGTGAAGAAGGATGGTAGCAAATCTTTGACAAGTAAAAAGAGAGCTAGGTGCAAGTATTGCCTTATTAGTTATGTCGCGGACCCTAATGTGAATGGGATGTCAAGTTTGAAGAAACATATTGAGTCTATATGTAAGAAATTCCCTGGGAGTGTTGGAAAGGATAAAAGGCAAAAGATCTTGTCGTTTGACCAAGCAAACAAACAGATTTTTTATCCCAAAATAAATAAATAAAAAATCGGCCCAAATCGGAAAACCGAATCGGGCCAACCAGTTCGGTTTGGTCCCCTTTTTTTCCTGTTTTTACTAAAATTCGAATCGGACCTGACCGAATGAACAATGCTAATTTCGGTTCTACTTTGAGCTCTGCACCGGACCGAACCGGACTGTGCCCACCCCTAATTTTGGTTTGACATTTGGCAGGTTCTGGTGGTGAGTTTTTACATTAATACCCTCGAGCTGTGTTGTGGTTGGCTTTTTTCAGGGAATTTTGGTGAAGCAACATAGTTTAGGGCCTGTGACACCTCTGGGTTACTAGACGTTGGAACGGCGCCGTTTTTCTAAGGGGCAAAATGTTTATTTGGTTTGGTTTTCACTAGGGCTGGGCATTTCATCGCAAACTGCTGCCTCATCGTCATCCTCCCACTCCATCTCTGTAAGTTGCTTGTGTGTTGATTTTGGTTATGTGTAATTGATTCTGTTTGGTTGATTATGCTTTTGTGTGGCTCTAGGTCGATGGATTAGCTTAATTAGAATGCTCTCTACCATGTATTTTCATTTTCCTTCCCTTGATTTCTTTTTCCAAAATTGGTACCGAACCTTGTTGAGAAATGGTAGCAAGGATATGAAAATTAGCTCTTTTAGTTCCCAATATTTGGGTATTTAGTTGATTTGCAGTTGCTAGTTGTGGACCAAACTTGGGTTGTTTCTGGCTTTTTTTACTGTGATGCTTGTTTAGTCACTCCTCTATGGCAAAAACGTTTTATGGAAAATTAAGAATAATTGCTTAAATGGTTTCTGAATACATAATTTTTTTTTTGTTAAAGATAATTTAATTATTTCAAATTAACTATATAGAATGACTATCAGTATGTCATAGGGTTGGATCACAAGATCATGCCTAGGTGGGGGTCACCGGTTCAAGTTCGATGGTCATCAAGTTGAGTCCAATGGTCACTAGGTTCGATCAGAAGGTCACTAGGTCAGACCAAGAAGTTACTTGTTTGAGCTTGTGGTTAAGGAGGTTGGTTGTTAGAACTTAGAAGGGCAGGATCAAGGGTCAACGAGGAAACAAATCTAGTTACCAATCTTACTTAATTTTCAGTTTTATAAAACTGAAGAAAAAAAAAAGAGTCATTGCTTGTTTCCTTGGAAATTCAGGAGGGCTGCTCTCTGGCACGGAGAGGGTTTAATCTGGTCCACCTTAAGGTCCTTTCATGGAGGGCTGCTCTTTGGTGGGAGTAGCTGTTGTGCAGCTCTCACATGAGTTTTTCTATACCTTCATATATGATTTGAGTTTCCTTGTTGATGTGCTTTCATAAACAGAGCTATTTTTCCTATCATGTATAATATGATTTTTCGCTTTGAAATTTGTAGGCAATTCTTTTCTTGTCATTATACAAAATAACTATAAACTCATAAATTGATTCGCATTATGTTTGTCATGCAATCATGTTTTCCTAGTATTATTGTGCTTTATGAAATTTAAGCTGTTAATTTTTCATGAGATATGATGGCTATAGCCTATAGGTGATAGATTGCAACTGATTCCTCTATTATGACAGTTGATTTTCTCCAGTTATTGTTGCAGTCAAGGTTCGTTCTTCATTACCGGCTGAAGGTGATCCAAGTTTTTAAGTTAGACATCTCCAAACTGAAGCAGTGGATTTTTACTTTGGTTGGTCCTCTCCTTGTGTTATTTTGTTTATACTGTGACTTTATTGTTTAGATTAAATATCATTTCTATTTTGATCCGACTGTATATGTTCTTAGATTTTCTAATACCAAACGACCTTGGTTTGCTTTTCATTTTCTCTATATACTTCTGATTGTTTTATTTTACTTTCTTGGTAAATCTGATGTGAAATCTTGGTTTATATGTTATATGATTTCCCCATCCTTTTTTTTGGTTTTTTGTAGTTATGTTTTCTATGACAATCTGGTTGATGTTATTTCGTTTTAGGGATTTGGGGTTTTATTTTTCTAGAGATGTTTGGGACTTAGTTCTGCAGAAGCATAGTAGAGTTGTGAATACTTCAAAAAGGCCTGACTTGATGGATGGGTTTCTCTTGATTTCATAAAGTGCTTAATGGAGGATTTGTTAAAGATATGAACATGCTCTGATCTTTGGGTTTTTTTTTTTCCTTTTCATACCCAACATTTATCATGAAGGACTGGATTCTTTTCTGTTTTATTTCAATCATTTTTTAGTTTAGACCCTGCTGTCATTCCTCTGACTAGGATTTGTTTATTGATTGTCAAATGAGTCAGCCAAAAAGAAAGAGCACCGAAAGTAATGGTGACCAAGGTATGTGTAGTGATTCGATCTTTTCATCACCCAAACCTTTTGTGGGGGCTTCCACCTTCTACACGGAGGATTGCATTGCCTGAATCACGAGTCTTATATACTGTGTTGCGATCACCTCATATTGATAAAAAGTCCAGAGAGCAGTTTGAAATGGAAATCAAGAAACAATATCTGGTCATAAAGACACAATCGCATGAATTGCAGAAGAAGTTTTTTTGGCTAAAGCGCCAACGTATATTTGGAGCTCAATATGAACTCCTATTTTCTTGCAAGACTCGCTTGGATAAGGAACAACTTCAGAAATTGCTTTGAAGGAAGATCATTGCATTGACCCTTCCCTGAACCAGAACCAGAACCAGCATGGCGCCGCTGGATGGTTCTGATTAACACAACAGGAAGGGAGGGGAAAAAGAGCACTTCAAGTGATGCCCTAGTTTGCATTGTGACTGGTGTTTTTCAAGTTTTGTAAGTTTAAAATCTGTTTTGATCAGATAGGAAGATGCAGAACTGTTTTTGGTTATTGTGGGATTTTGCGTCCAAGTTAGAGAATGATATGAGGTTGCTATAATAATCCAACACTTGACATTTTCAACTTGGAGTTGGATATCTCACTGAACTTTTGCATTATCTCTAATGTGAGAAGGCACTGGCAAAGAAGTACTTGCATTAGAGGGCTGGAACTTCCTGTTCTGCAAGTTCTTTTGTTTTTCGTTTTTGTTTTTCTTTGCTTTATTATCTTTATTGTGTGCCGGATTCGTCACCTATTCCATATCCTTGCTTATATTTTTATTTGTTTGGTAACACCAATTAGCATATTCATCAAATTAGTACAAATATGCATGGATTTTACACTAAACCCTATATTCTTCAACTATAATATTTTTGAGGGTCTTTACGCTAATTTCTAATTTCTTGGAACAAAAATTATAGGTTTCAACTTACTCCCTTAAACATATGTAGGTTTAAACTTCCCTATCACTCTCTCTGGAATCAATTGACCTCGTGGTGCAGTTGCCAAACAATTTTATTTCTAGTCCTTAATCTGTTTACATATGTTTTAATTTTGGGGTGCTTTTCTGCAAATTTCTTCTTCCATAAAGGGCTTGTAACAAAACAAAAACAAAAAAAACAAAAAAAAACGCTTGTGCTTTTTTTATTAATGGGATCAAAAGGAAAAAGAAAGATCCAAAAGATATAAAACGAGAACGAGATGGGTGGCTCGAAGAAATTGTAAACCAGTAGATGGGTGGGTGTGTAGAATGGGTTGAAGAATGGGTTAATGAGCTGCCTAATTCTTATAAAAAATATGGTCCATTAATAAATTCTCAGTTGGTAGTGAAGCATCACGTACAAATCTTTGGTCAACTTTGTGGCGCGCTTGACCTGAGAATCTAACAAATCCGACCGTCAAGATGATTGTTTAGGGTTAAATAAAAGACCAAAGAAAAAAGAAACACAAAAAGGCTGACAAATTCAAGGAAGCGTAAGATGTCATATCTTGCATTACATTACGTAGCAAGAAAACGAATATTATAAGAGAAAAAATGGTGAGGAAGAGGTTAAGCAAAGTCTGTATAACAAAAATCTGTGTTTGCAAAAGACTCACTAATGTAGTGGTTTACAGTAATTGCTCTTTTAGACATTGTTCAGTTTCAATAGTGAAACTTAAGTAATCTTTCTGCTATTCAGTTTCCTCGTATCTGGCACTATAGCTACTTTGTACTTTATTATATTTTATTAATAAAATATTATCACTTTTTTAAATTAAAAAAGGAATATTGTGCACTGGATTTTGCATGATTGGGAGCGGTTGTTGGTTTTATCTATAGGAATTTTTTATTATAACTATTTGCTGGCATATTTGTTTTCAACATAAGAACTCATTTTTAATCATAAATCTTCCTAACGGAATAGAAATATCCAGAAAGCTTGGCAAAGCATTCCAGATTTGCCTGGCAAAAGTGGACAGTGTTATTATTACAGAAGTAGACAAATATTATCTATGTCCATAACCTAAGAGCATCCATAATGGACTCCCTAAACACAATATTCTAAATTCTTAATTTTAGGAGGTAACACCATTTTCCAAATTTTCTTGAGAGACGGTTCAGTGAACTAATTAAGAACTCACACAGTTTGCATTTTATGTATGGATTATGAACAAATAATAACTTAGTTATCATATGTGAGGGAGATACGGATGAAAGCCTCCATTTTCAATCATCATCAGTGGTTAGTACTGAAGCATGTATCCCGAGCCTCTACATTTAGAGTTTACGTATTTTATCACATTTCACAAAATCTTGATCATCCTAATAATCTAATTGTTTAAAAGACATGACATGTCAGCAATATAAGTATTTAATTTTCCTTTTTATCTGAAAATTTATTTAAATTTAACAATTATTTGTTTAAATAAAAAGCATAAAAGAAAAATCCACTCCCTTTCCACGAGGTGGGTGGGAGAGAGGCTATAGGTTTCTTCACGAAAGGTTAGGGGTAATTAAGGCGGGGCTGTGAAGAATATAGAGAAAGATTATTGGAGGGGGGGAGAGATTATTAAATTATTGAGGGATATATATGTATATGTATATATATAATCTTGGTTCCAATCCAAAGTTTGAGGGAGTCTTTCTAATTCAATTAGAAATGGGTAGTTCTATCCATTCTCTTGTCGAAATCACCTCAAGAAAGATCATTAAGCCATCATCTCCAACTCCTTATCACCTTAAAACTCTCAAGCTCTCTCTTTTGGATCAACTTTTTCCTCCTACGTTATATGGACCCCTCGTGTTTTTGTACACCAACCATTGGCATGGTGCCGATTTTGTTTCCAAAGCTTCTAAGCGCTTGCAAGAGTCTCTATCCAAAACTTTGGTCCTCTTCTATCCATTGGCTGGCCGGCTCAAAGGTCCTGAGACACCGATTTATTCAGTATACTTTCTCTTCCTTTCTTTCTTTCCTTATGTCTATGCTGTTCTATAGTTCAATATAATGTAGTTTGAGCTTGAAAATAGTTGAAGACATTCATAAACCTTGATGGGTTTCTGCAAAGTTTTGATTTTTGTGTTCCGTTCTTAAATTTAATCAACTATTTTCCTTTCCACCATTTATTAGACTTTCAAACAAATAGATCCAGTAAAGTTGGTGAACTTCATTAATGCTGCACTTGTATTTTCTCTGCTTTTGTTTTGAATGTATACTTGTTCTCTTACTCATTTTTATCCCATTTTATGTAAGAATTTTTGAAGCAATCCACCATTTCTACAAGGTTTGTTCGATTGCTTCAAAAAAAAAATTCAAGGAAAATATTCATCAACTATTAAAAAGGTGATTTTGTTGCTCACCCATGGAGATTTTACATCAATTGCTGCATGATATATTACTTCTTATTTTTATTTATTTAAAGTCTGGCATTTTAGCACAGAGTTTGATTTAGCAGGTCGTATGGATCCTTATGTTCTGATTCAATACAAAGGCCAAGAGCGCAAGAGCAGCGTGGCCAGAGGTAAAGTTCCAACATCCACTTGACTTGCACCTAATACTTAAATTTAAAATAATGGTTTACACAAATCTGTTTTTCAGTTTTGATGTCAAAGCTCGCAAGTCAATTAAATAAGAAGAATTGATTGGCATGTTCATGTTGTAAGAAATATATTTTATTCAAATGTCCAATGGTTCCTTGAGTTGCGTTATGTATGGAACTATAGTAGACTTTGAGAATTAAATTTTAATTAGATTGAGGTTTACCTATACTCTAGACTTTTTTCTATCAAGTACTTAGTTAATACGATGCTCAAAGCTTTCTCCTTCCTTTAAACTTGTAATAAAAATGGTGTGGCCAAGTTGCCTTCTAGAAGCTGAACTACTTAATAAACTCATGACCAAGTAAACCCTTTTATATAAATAGACGCATCAGTAGTTATATAAAAAACAGACGCATTGTGATTTTTCATTATTCTGGCAAATTTTGTGTAGTGTTGTTGCGTTTCAAAGACTACTACATGTTCTAATTCTGAAATGGTAATGCAGAGCAAGGCAGCAGTCCGGTGTGGAACGAGAGATTTACATTCAGGGCAGAGTATCCAGGGTCAGGGGAGCAGTACAAGGTCACCCTCAAAATCATGGATAAAGACACCTTCACTGCTGATGACTATATAGGAGAAGCAACGTACGTAACAATATTCGTATATAATATTCTTTTTACTCAATAGTTGTCGCCCATGAAATTTGAACTCAAAACATTCTCCTATGTTCTACTTAATTAGTCACGACTGATATATGGTAGATCAAATTACCCTTAATCTGCAGGATATATGTTAAGGATTTATTGGCACTGGGTGTGGAGAATGGAACTGCTCAACTACATCCTCTTATTTTAAATTTTCATAAGAGATCAGTGGATAATGTTTTGCCAAAAAAAGCTTCTATTCCTCTGCATAATTACATAAATTATGGAGTTTATTAACATCGGCCGTCTTAGCTCAGCTGGTAGAGCGCATGGCTTTTAACCATGTGGTCGTGGGTTCGATTCCCACAGACGGCGCTTCCCGATGTCTGTATTTAGTCCTATTTTATTTTTCGGGTCTTCTTTTGAACCTCGGGTTTTTTTTTTCTGTCTTCATGGACTTCACGTCTCCACCACCAACAGTGTGCAATTAAATGGAAATGCAACTTGTGCAAAAGAGAGATCATGGGATGGCCATGCAATACACTAATAACAATAATGATAATACCAACTGTACAATCACAGATTCACAAAAGATTCTTCCACCGCCACCTTCTCTCATGCATTTCAATTTTCCAAAATTTTCATCTGCTCTCTGCTTCCCTCCCTCTCTATCTTCTCATATCTCAACCCTACCTACCCTTAATGGCACCCACGACAACACCTCACCCTCTCTTTGTTTTAGGCACTTCTTGCCTCAAGAACTTCACCACTGCTGCGGCCGTCAGATTCTTGTTTCCAAACAGTTGGCTTGTGATCTTTCTTTGAGCAAATAATGAAATTCGAAGACTTTCTGATGCAGAGAAGCGAGGAGAAACAGAAAAGACTCGATCTTGAGGAAGAGGTGACAACAAAGTTTTTCCCTTTTTTGTTTCCCATCTTGGGGTTCTAAATGTTGTGATACGTATTAGAAAACTAGTCAAAGAAAGTCGACACAAATCAAATGCTCATGTGTTCTGCAGGTTATGAAATTACAAGCAGAGTTAGATGGACAACAAACACTAAACAGGTTTTTGCATTGCGCTCTTCATGGACCTCTGCTGTCACATCCATGCCTTTTATCATTGCTTCCACCTCAGGTATATAAGAGAGAGAGAGAGAGAGAGAGAGAGAGAGAGAGAGAGTGTGTGTGTGTGTGTGTGAGAGAGAGAGAGAGCGCGTTAGTGTGTGTGTGTGTGAGCGCGCGTTTTGTGTGTGTGTCAGAGCGCGCATTTGTGTTTGTGTGTGATGTGTAATTAAGTGGAATTGAATTTTGAGAAGAGGCTCTACAATATGCAGGTTCAGGTGCTATTTTCAGAGCTGGCAATGGTGGAAGAAGAGATTAGTAGGCTGGAAAGAAGAGTTGAAGAGCTGAAATTGAGGTTGTACCAAGAGAGGGAACAGACCAAAGAATGGGAAGTGCAGAGGAGGCAAGGGCAACAGAATCACTTTCTGTGCAGAGTGGGAAATCAGTCAGTGCTCAATGAAGAGAGCTGTAGTAGATCCCAGAACTATGAGGCATTGAGAAAAGAAAGAAGGATGAAGAATAGAAGAGCCTCTGTGGATTCTGCATCAGATTTCCAAAGGTGGAATTTCCCAAAGTCAGATGGTAAACTGCTTCTTTATCTCATATGAAGAAGAATGTGGATATTGAAACACTTTTTTTTTTCCTTGTTTTGATTATTTGTTGTGTTTTTTGAACAGGAGAAATTGCTGAAATGTCAAGGAAGCTAAGTGGGAGAAGCAGAAACCAGGGCAATGTGGATATTAATGAAACTGGGATTAGTCTGAAACCAAATGAACTCTCAGAAGAAGTGCTCAAGTGCCTTATAGGCATATTTCTTGACCTAAAACAGACGTCATTGGACAAAGAGGGATCATCTGTTGTCCCAAAGCTAACTCTCTCCTGCATGAACTCAAAAGGGTTCATGGCAAAAACCTCATTCAACTGCAAATCATCCACAGTATTCTTCAACTACAACACATCCAATGTTGACCCTTACTGCATATTACCGGATATAGATGGCGCTGTCCGGGACGTTGGCCCGTACAAGAACTTCATCCAAATCACAAGAAGCTCATTAGACGTCAGCCGCTTATCAGACTGTTTGACTGGAATTGGAAAATTGAGGTTGCTTACAGGTCTTGTTAGCAATGACGGCTGTTTACAAATTCATTCTCAAAAGCATTGTTTTGTTAACTTCTTTATGTTGTCTTCAGGAAGTTGATGCATCAATTGTGTGATGTGGACTTGACTTTCTTGACCTACAAGCAGAAGCTAGCGTTCTGGATCAACATCTACAATGCCTGCATCATGCATGTACTGTAAGACATCTTAAGCAACATTTAAGAAAAGACAGAAATCTGAAGAATGATATTGATTGGGAGCTTTCTGTTCTTAATTATCAAATTTCAGGCATTTCTGGAACATGGGCTGCCTTCCACGCAGGAGAAGCTACTGGCGCTAATGAACAAGGTACATCAATGTCTGTAAGACCCATGACTTCCCAATTCTGATACTAATCGATAACCATTTTCACATAGGCTGCATTGAACGTGGGAGGCATAGTGTTGAATGCTCTGGCGATCGAGCATTTCATACTCCGCCATACATCTGAATCGAAACATGTACGCGAAATGAAAATCAAAACTTGAGCTCCTTCTATTTTTGTTCTCTTTTATGTATTTTTCCGCCTGATCATTTGCATCTCACTTAGTAGGGGCCTGCGTATGAGAAAGAAATGCTACTAAGACATGCCTACGGTCTCGGATACCCGGAACCTAATGTGACATTTGCTCTTTGTCGAGGCAGTTGGTCCTCACCAGCAGTACGTCCGTGTAGCTCTCCTAGTTTATTTCACAACATTTTTCTCCATCTTATTTCTTAATTTTGATGAAGTTAAGACTTTGATATGCATGCAGTTAAGGGTCTATACCCCAGACGACATAGTTAACGAGTTGGAGAGAGCAAAAGTGGAGTACTTAGAAGCTTCAGTTGGAGTTACAAGCAAGAAGAAAATTCTGGTGCCAAAGCTTCTACAATGGCACATGCTTGATTTCGCTGACAGTATGGAATCGTTGCTGGAATGGATTTACAGCCAATTGCCACGCTCTGCTTCACTGAAAAGATTGATAATGCAGTGCTTGAATGGGGAAACAAAGTCTCCGATAAACAAAATGGTAGAAGTCCAACCTCATGAATCAGAGTTCCGGTACTTGCTGCCATTGTGAAACAGATGACAAGAATCACAGAAGGTTTTGATCTAGATGGATTTGAATTATTTACATGAACTTTTGTGTCCCATTGATTTAAATTACAGAGGTTTTGCCAACTGTACAAACAATGCATTAAACATCTGGAGAGCCAGAACACTTGCAATACATAAACAAATGCAGTAATACATGTAGAATAACGAGCGGATTTCCTATTTTCTTTCCAAATTTAATTATTCGTTTCCAAGCATCTTAGAAACTACTCATGGGCATGAGAGGGCTCAACCAATACATTCACGATCCTGTTCAGCAGATTCAGCCCGAATACAGTTTCTTCGCAGTTTACTTTAACTGACATTTCCAATGGTTCAGAACATCTACCTTCAACGGTGATGGTGATCAAGCAGGGAACAGAGGTGCTCAAAAGCTTGCTGCTGAATCGTAAGCACAAACCTGTTGCATCATCGAGGTTCGCTGCGACTGGCAAATCAACAGATACAAGATGAAGATTTGCGCTGCTAAGCATTTTCAGTGCAAGATTTCGGCATATTACGAGAAATTTGTCTTCTACCAATGAATTGTCACCCTTGTCCTTGTCCAACTCCTTGATATGATCAGTGAAGGTGCACCTGTTGTACAAAACACAAACATTCAATTCAGTATAAACAACAAAGACCAAAAGAGAAGGGGTGTTCTGGAAACCATGATCAATAGTTAGAATTTGTCTTATACAACCTCAGAAAAATGAGTCACTTTACCTTCTTACACATTCAAACATTCCTCGCAGATGAGACTCCTTTTTTGTGAAGGCTTCAACATCCATAGGAAGAGCTTTTACAAAGTATCCAATGTCAGGCCGCAACTTAACAGGATGCCTCTTGCCATTACAATATAAGGTCAGTTTTAGAGGCAAGAGGTGGTGATGAAAGCGAACCTGGATGGTTCTTGTCATTGCCTGACCAGGTTCTAGAGAAGCGATCTCTTCTACAGAAACTAGATTTGGCTCATTATTTTCAGGTGTTGTTGAGCTGCAATATCGAGATAATCGTAACAAAAGATTAGCCCTTACTACAGGAAAGATGTCACAGGGAGAAATAAACATAGTCTTAATACTTTATGGATGATCCGAGAACAAATCAAATGCAGTTTAATTAAATCAAAGGATCATGCTCGATCATGTGTAGTTGGAACCCCCAGCCATCTAAAGCATGGACCAGTCTGGAAACTGTAAAGATCAACTAAAGCATATACATCAACCTCAACCTTTGACGGGAAAAAAAAACAAATTTAAAAGACTACTGCCTTGGACCCAATATCAACAATAACTTAAAATATGCAGACAGAAAACAACATTAAATTTAAAATGATAGTAGACCTTAGAACTACAGGAGACTCAATGGCCAAGTGACTTGATACTTCATCAAGTAGGCAACTCAGAGAAATATGTTAAAACTCCAGAAAACTGTATTTTATCTCACATTTTTAACAAATCTACCATAAAAACAACTTAAATTGGTCTACTAACCTCAACCTCAATGTATAACATGGAGGTTTCAACGAAGAAATAATTACTTTATTTTAAATTACCTTTCACGTGAACCCGAAGCTTGGTCTACAGAATCCACGCCTTTGCCAGATTCCTCATCAACCAAAGTAATATCAGACACGGTTTCCTTTGAACAGTTCTTGAAGGAAACTTCTATACATAGAAACAGAGGAGAGATGCTTGAAATCTCAGATGAAAATGAGTAGTCAACCTTTAAGCCGTTTCCATTCACAGGATCCAAGAGTGCATAGCTTTTAGGTTTAACTTGACCTCCAATATCACCAATGGAGATTCTTGCTGAAGATCTACGGACTTGAATTTGTTCTGAAGTATTCGTGCTTGAAAAACCAGGCTGCTCATCTAACCATGATTCTAAAGCTCTATTTGACAACAATTCCCCAAAATCAGAAGCAGACTGAGAAGCTATATTTTTCTTTTCATTAGCATTTCCAACATCTGAAAATTGAATCAAGGGATGAGAATTTTCATCGCCTTCATTTGCAGAACCAGCCTCTTCACTGCCACCACTGCCACCACTGCCACTTGAATCCATATCAGAGTGTTGTGAACTATAACTAGAAGCATTTTCCTCATCCAAAAATTCAGACTCTGAGTCCTCGTTGTCTGTAACATATGGATCACCATTAGTGACTCCCTCTCCAAATTCATTCATTTTGAGGCCATCACAGCGCAAACTACAGGGCTTTGGGAGAGGTTCATACCCTGGAGCAGCATGAAGTACTATCTGTGATAAAGAGCCAGGAAGGTAAAAACGGTGATCAATGGGCTCACGTGACATTGGTTTTTTTTGTCCTCGAAATAAGCATTCTGCTAGGACACATGAACTATCTTTATGCTGGGCCAGACAATTGGTTTCCTCCTCCAGACCTCGAGAATCTAAATAAGTAGACAGAATTTTCCTTAAGAAATGAGCTCGATCACGAATGTCATAGTTTAAGTCGCATTTGGCCATTTCCAGCACATAGATTAAAACTTTTTTTATAGTCAACAGATCATTCCCTTTTGCATGCAATAAAACCTACAGAACAGATAACCTCAACATTTAGAAACAAAGAGAGTGACATTAACACATTTACTTAGAGAAGAGCACCATGGAGTAGTACCTTAACAGTAGTATTACAAATTTGAAGCTTTGTTTCCAACTCTTCTGAAGTAAAGCACCATGCAAGATACTTGAGTACTGTAGCTAACATCTTTGGGATGAGATCACCTAAAGAGTTATACTCCCCCACCATCCAAACAATTATAGCCCGTGCAGCAGGCACCTTTATTGAATTTAAACTACGAACCAACTGAATAATAACCTTGAAAAGGTATAAAAGTTAATTACTAGATGCCCCAAAAAAAACACCAGAGAGAAGAAAGACAAGGTAACAAAGTTTCACAAAATATAATAGTAAATCACCTATGCACCCCTGACTTAGACATCTAATGACAGCAGCTCAGCAGAAAATTAAGAATACCTTTTCATGACTGGGTGGATCTTGCTGAATGATTGATTTAATAGACATTATTGCTTGAATCAAAATATCTGCTTCACCATCCACAGACCCGAACTCACCAGTCATAAGTTCTGCAAGATTAGACAATAACTCAAAAAACAAGAAGCAAAACTTTTTGAAGATCTATACAACAAGTAGAAAATAGTCACAGACGCTGTCTGGTCAAAGCCAATAAAAATTCTAAGCATGTGTTTGCCATTTCTGGAAGTCGCTGCGCACATATGCCAATTCCAGCAACAGTATCAGCAGCAAATCTCCTGTCTGGATCTCTAATATAATCCTAGCAACAAAATAAAACAATAAGCAAATGATACATGCCTTTGATTTTTTAAATATTATCACATATAAATGTTTGCAATTATCAGATAAAGTTGATGATACAGAGCTAAGTCTAAACAAATAATGGCTGAAAAACTTAAAATACACCGTTCACACTCATGTACATATAATTATGAACAATCTAACGTACATATAATTATGAACAATCTAATTTAAAAGGAAAGAAATTACCTGAAATTCTTTGAGTATAAATGAAATTGATGAATCTGTAGCAATGTAAGCCAGTATATCCAGTTTCAAAGCCTTAATTTGATATGAATCTGAAGAGCATATAAAGAAGTCTTCAAAGTACAGAGAGAAGAGTGAAGGAATTGCTTTTGCAAACACTTGAACGTTACATAAAACCTGCACTGGTCAATCAACAAAACAATCCTCACCATCTTACCGACTGTAAACTAAGTATAACAGAATACATGAAGATTGACACAAAAGAAATTTCCTACAGGACAACAGGCCAAAATAATATTTACAAAATATCAGAATATATGAATTCACGGTCACATGCATGCATCAACAAAATTTAAAAATAGTACTTTAATGCTACACAAAAACCAATTAAATTGTAAGGAAATGTTAACTACCACATATTTTGAGGCATTAGATGATCTTAGAACGAACAAGAGCGGCTTAACAATTCTTTTCAAATCCTCTATGGGTGCCATAATCCAGTGTACACCAGCAGCTGCTAGTACAACTGCACTATTATTACTCCATAACAATGGGGATGTACACTGCAGCAGGATCTTCACATCATCATTGTTCTTTCCAGATGTAAAACGGGCATAATTACATTCAGATGCATCTTTATTCATGAGACTTAATCGTGATAAATATTCAGCTGGTCCTTCAATATAACAACGGGATACAATATTTGCTAATTCAGACTGATAACGACCACTCATGTCACCGCTGTCTTCCACTAACGCAGAGTTGGTGTCTGAACAATCCTTTTCAGATTGAGAATTCTCTGTACTGTGCAAAGAAAACATAATGGATTCCTTTACAAGCCCATGCCTCGCAATTGTATAGCGCAAAAGGATCCCGATTAAAATTATTTTACCCCATTCTTCAACATCAGGAAGAATCTCGCATAACCTTTTATAATTTCTTCCAATCAGAGAGCCAAATTATTCGGACAAACGGAAGAGAAAGCAGCAGCAGCAGCACCAACGACACAAGGGGAATGGTCATTCAACAATATTCCGATAATCTGCATACAACAGAACATTATAGAAATATTAATGACACTGCATATGAATGAATCAACATTGCAACAATTAGTGAATCAAACCTCTTCAATCCCCGCGGTATTTTCGTCAAGGCGCAAATCGTGCAGCTTAGGAAGAGCATTGGCCGCGCATTTTCTAACATACACAGAGGGATCTCTAGCACATTTTCCAGCGGCAACAAGAACTAAGGGTGCAATAACATGTAGACGGATCCCCGCCATGGTTCTCAGGGCCCATGCCCTCACTAACGGGTTTGGATCCCCCAAATCCTTCTGGAAGTAATTAATCGATAGCAATGCTTCATTCGGACGCCTGAAACATAAATTTCAAAAACACCACAAAGATGAGCTCAAAATTAGGTAAAAGCGATCAAGAACAAAACAAAAATTCAGATTGTGCAGTTTATCTATGCTTACTTTTGAGCATAATGCAGCAGGTATAAGTAAACCAGCTTTTTCACTTCCAATGACTGCGATGCTACGTTCTTAACAACCTGCAATTCCAATTCAACCAAACGAAACTCGTATTAAAAACGAAGGCTCCGATGAGAGCTCTGATTCTTTTTTTTTTATCGGAAACTCATAGTGTTGAAATTAGAGAGGACCTGAGGGAAGAAATTGGAGACTTCGAAGCCCTGGGCGATGAGAGCGAGCAGGCGCTTGAGAGCTTCGCATTTTTCAGAGTCGAACTTGCTGTCAAGAAGAGGAGCGATGCTGACGTCATCGGGATCGTCGTAGAGGTGGGCGTCCGTACCGATCCGGAACACCATTGTCGATGCCTTGCTTAGAGTATCTGCTGTTGCGCCGAATTGAGGGAACATATTTTTCCTCGCTTCAGCTCCTAAAAGCTAAGCTCTCTCTCTATGGGTCTGAGAGCGTGAGAGAAATAGAGAGGGAAGATGACTGTCTGAGAGTTGTGATCGCGGAGGGTCACCCTGACAGTAGAACCAGAGATGAGGAGCTGTTTGGACGCGCCCCAAAATTAAAATTAGTTCGGATTGGAACTCCTACTGCTGGTTTAGGTGCGTTTGGCAACGTACCTTTTTTTTTTGGGGTCTGAACCACAGTGGTCCTGAATGGGCCCCAATTATGGGTGGCATCTTTAAGTCTTAACCACAACCCAGACTAATCTCCGCTCACACCGGGTCAGCCCGTAAGGGGTAAAATGCTGACCAAAGTGGTGACTTCATACAAGAGCAGGCATCGAACCCCTGACCTCTCTTAAAGAATAAGAGTGCCGAACCACTCACACCAACCACCTTGATTTTGGCAACATACGTTTTGAGTAACCGATAACTTACGAATAAATACCTTACTACTTACTTAGTAATAAATTTGATTTTTTAAATTAAAATAATAATAAAAAGTTTATACAAGCAAAAATAAAAATTGTTTATGGTGTATAAGTAGCATGTAGTTTAAGTGATTATGAATATTACTCACGCACCTGACTCTTGAGGTCCTAACTTTGATTTTCCTTTCTCTCAATATTACTTGTCTACAAAAATTAAAATTAGGCTATAGATAATCGAATATCAATTTAAGGATTTGAGATTGTGCCAAAATAATTCATTGGATTTAGTCGTTTATTCTTAACATTGCATTGAATATAATCATTTAAATTTCATGATAGATGGTGTTTTTTTTATGGTTATTACACTTAGGATAAAACTTAGCTATCTTCCAATTCAAATAGATGCTAAAACAAGTAGCATCTACCATGGTTACCAAAATATATCAAACCTAATCGAATTCGAAGAAACAAGTAAGAAAACTTTACTTTATTTTTTATTTTTCTAAATATGGCTAGTTTTTCGTTCTATCCATGAAATGTCACGAATTTAATATGAGTTAGTCTAATGGTATATAGGTTTTTGTTTTAACATCAATCATGTGAGATATAAAGAACTCATATATCATGAACCAATGACGTATTAGCTTTTCATCACCACTAATCACTAACTTAAAATAATTTTTTAACTTTAACTCTTTTGAATTATTTACTCTCAATCCCAACTTAATCTTGTATACTCCTTCAAATGAAAAATTAGGGGCTCATTTAATTTCCATTTTAGTTTTCATTTTTAAGAAATTGTAAACATAAAACTTGTGTTGTACCCAATTTAGTTTTCAAAAATATTGAAAACTAGGAAATGTTTAAAAGTTGTTTGGTAACTGATTTCAGTTTTCAATTTTATGTGGAACTTAGAAATGGAATTTTTAGGTTTAAAATGTGAGTTTGTGATCATAGAATGAAAGTGTATGTTACAAAGCGTTCGTAGTATTTTTTGAAGTTTGGATGATTTTTTGGTAAATTTTGGATATGGAGGTCCCAAAGTTTGGAATGGGTCGCGGCTGAATCGCAATAGTTGAGTAGCTAGGTCCAAGTTGGGAGATCCCAAACACCGATTTTTGGTAACTCATGTGTGGTGTTGTAAAATTGGCGAATGAAAAAAAAAACTCATAAAAAATGAAAAATGTAAACACTTTCATTTCAAGTTGTTATAAAATAAAATAAAAAGGGTGAATTTGAAAAAGAAAACAAAATCTATTAACAAACATGTGTTTGGCTGCAAGTTTCTTGTGTTGCCACGGTTTTGTTGATGTGCACGAGTTTTTTTTTAAGATCACGCATTTATTTTTGTCTCTCATGTTTGAGTTTTGGATAGTATTTACTGTTTCAGTGCTATCTTTGTACATTGCTTATTAAAGCATCTCTTCTAAAAAAATAAAAAATAAAGTTTAAAAAAGTGTGAAAATGAAATGGTAAAAACAATATTACCATTCAAATTTCGAGTTACAACAAATCAAATTTAACCAACTCGTCAAAATTAAACATAAAATATTATCTATTTGGGCATCACACTAATTATTATGATAACTCCGGATTTGGATATAAATAAACTTTGACTTTGAACATGCACAATACATTCATCTCTCTGCTGAATGGTGCGGGACTCCGTTTATATATCCCACATCATTCTCATTTGTTGAGATTAGTGTATCTTTCTCAATCCCTTGTGATTAGTGTACTAATTTAGTCTAAATGAGTTGTTTGGTGATGAGATAAACCTAATCACCATAATCATTTCTCAAAAAACATAAAGTAAAAAAGCACCATAATAATTATTTATGAATTTCATGCATCCTAACTCTCAAATTAAATATGTCAGAAAAATTTACAGATTAGAAATGACATTTTTCCGGCAAATTTGATCGGAATTTGCAAAAAATAATAATATTTTATACCAACTCATCATCACTCCCAATTCGGTCAAAGAGTCGCGAGGTCTCCATTTCCCGTACTTGTCGTCTTCTCCATTTTCTGAGTGTCACGCACAGTGAGTCCATTACGAAATTCGCTTTATTTATGGTGAGAAGCACTGAGAGCAGCAGCAATTAGCCCAGCCCCAATTTTCTTCGTCAAAACCCCGTCTTCCCCGGAACCCAGAGAAGAGAGCTCACACAGAGTGGTCTCTCAGTCTCATCCGTGCCCTCAGGAGCTCCAATTTTCGTAGGTCATCTCACTCTGTCTCTCTCTTCTTTCTACGTTTCAGCTGATCTTTCTCTGGTTTTGCTTGTTTCCACTACATGCATGTGCTCGTTTTGCTGATATGTATAATTTACTACATGCATTGTCAATTTTGGGCTTCTACCTTGTTTGGCTTCAAGTTTTGCAGCTTCAGCGTCCGTTCTGTTGTGTGTTTTGGCTGATCTGCTTGTTTTAGAAAAAAATTGTATGGTTGGTTTTAGGATTAACATTTAGGCCACTGATTACAAACAGTTTCTTTTGATTTCTGGTGATTACGAGTTTGGTATTTTGACGATATTTTTTTAATTTCTGTAAATTCTGTACAAGTCTACAATGTGATTTCATATGCAAGATATTATCTTATTAAGTCAAAGATATATTTATATTTTGCAATATCTCAACTAGCTTACATGAGCAGTTACTAGGACTTTTTTTTATATTTTTTTTTGGAAATTGAGTTATGATTGATTTCACAGAAAAGAGAGGAATGATATGGACTGAAACTGATTTCTATATATGGCGCTTTCACTACTGCAGAAGCCCTAAGATTGTGAAATCCAAAGCCTTGATTTGTGTGATTTCACCATATATTCTGAATGTTGCTGTAGCTTTATTTATGTAAGATACTAGTTTTTTAATTTGTGTAAACTCTGTACAACTCTACAATGTGATTTCATATGCAAGATATTCTCTTAAGGCTAAGATGGATTTTATTTTGCAATGTCTCAACTAGCTTACATGGGCAGTTACTAGTTTTTTTTGTGTGGAAATAGTGTTATGATAGGTTTCACTGCTGCATAAGTTCTAAAATGGTGAAACCCAAAGCTTTTATTTCTGTGATTTCACTATATATGCTGAATGTTGCTGTATGTCCACTTTCTTTTTCTGGGTCTGATCTTTTGACTTGTAACTTGTAAGTTGCTTTTAATTTTACCTCACTTGATTCTGTCATTCAGTTTCATCAACTCTTTTGGGAGATTTATTTTGTGTTTTTTGGTGCAAATATTTTCAAATGTGAAAGAAATTAGATTAACAGTATTGATTCTGTACTAGACCCCCACTTATGTCTACCTTTTTTTTCTATAACCTGTGGTTGCACATGTTCTACTTCCCAGATGAACTTTTCAAAATCATTGAAATAAAAAATTTTGATACGCCACTTATATTCCATAATTTCAATTTTCAGATTAGTGCTGTTTAACTAAAGTTCACAAATGGGGAGTGTAGAGGATCCTATCTTTGAAAATGATACAGATATAAGTGACACAGAAATGGATGAGGATGAAGAAGAATATTATGAAGATCTGAAGAATGGAAAACACAGTGTGAGAAGCTCAGATGGGACATATATTTGCCCCTTCTGCCCAAAGAAGAAAAAGCGGGATTTTGTTCTGAAGGACCTGCTCCAACATGCCTCTGGGGTGGGAAAGAGTAATTCAGAAAAGAGAAGCGCAGAAGAAAAGGCCAAACACTCAGCTTTGGCGAAATATTTGGAAAAAGATATAGCAGCCGAAGGTGGTCCATCTAAACCTGTGGGTGAGGAAGACCCCCCAATTGATTGTGACCATGATGAAAAGTTAGTGTGGCCTTGGACAGGGGTAGTCGTTAATATTCCAACCAGACGGGCAGATGATGGGCGATATGTAGGAGAAAGTGGATCCAAACTGAGAGATGATTTAATAAGGAGAGGGTTCAATCCCACAAGGGTTCACCCTCTATGGAATTTTCGGGGTCACTCAGGAAGTGCCGTTGTGGAATTTAGGAAAGATTGGCCTGGCTATGTTAATGCCATGTCATTTGAGAGGGCTTATGAGGCAGATCGTCATGGGAAAAAGGACTGGGGTGCTAATGGTGACCAAAAATCTGGTCTTTATGCTTGGGTTGCTCGAGCAGATGACTATAAAGCTACCAATATTGTTGGAGAACACCTCCGTAAGATTGGAGACCTTAAAACAATTTCTGAAATTATGGAGGAAGAAGCCAGGAAGCAGGATAAGCTTGTATTTAATCTTAATAACATCATTCAGGTGAAGAACAAAGACATGGAAGAGATGGAGCTAAAATGTAGTGAAACTACAAACTCCATTAAGAGCGTAATCACAGAGAAAGAAAAGCTTGTTCAAGGTTATAATGAAGGTATGTTTTTATAAGAAAAATGGAAGAGTGCTACTTATTGAATAAAAGAAGGAAGGTACGTTATCTTTAGCTTAGTTTTCTGACTGGATTATGAGTAGTTTACATTTGTTTGTTAATTATGTTTCTAGCTATTCCATTCTGAAGCTGTACGGTAACTGTATAGTTTGGATAAAGTGGCTTGGGTTTCACCATTTTGGGTTTATTTTATTTTGTTATATTTTATGGTCGTATGATGCTGTAATGACATTAATTCATGTTTTTTTTCTGTGTGTCTTGATAGATATAAAAAAGATACAAATGAGTGCGCGGGATCACTTTCAGAGGATTTTTAGCGACCACGAAAAACTTAAGTTACAATTGGAAACTCAAAAGATAGGGCTAGAGACACGCATAGAAGAAATGGAGAAGCGTGCGGTGGCTAACGAAAGTGAAAGTAGGAAGCTCGCCGATGAAATTGAAAAGGTTTGCTAATTTGTGCTTCATTGTTGCACATTATCTCTTAGATTTCATGATTAATATACCTGTGACTATATGTGAAATTATGAATATTGAAGAGGTGAAAACTAGTTTGTTGAAAGTTACTGAAAATGAGCATGATGTTCAAGTGTCATCAAGTCATATCATGAATATTTGGGGATGAGAGTTGATGCATTTATGTTTAGTTTACGTATATTGTGTGATGCTTTTGTCTGGGTTACTTTTCTATAGCAGCATTAGTTGCAATGTTTTGTTGTCATTGTTGGTGAAGGATTGTCCCGAGCAATTGATAACACTGACTTTGTTCTTGTAGAATTCGGCAAAAAATAGTTCTCTGCAATTGGCTTCTATGGAGCAACTGAAGGCTAATGAAAATTTATTGAAACTGGCTGAAGATCAGAAGGTTTGTTGGTTAATTGCTTGAAAATGATCTGAACATTATTTTATAGATTTCAGAGAAGATCTTTGATGTATGTGACAACCAATTTCATCCAGAGGCAAAAGGAGGAGCTCCACAGTAAAATAATTAAACTGGAAAAGCAACTGGATACAAAGCAAACTCTTGAATTGGAAATTGAGCAACTTAGAGGGAACTTAAATGTTGTAAGGCGCATGGGGGATGATGGGGATGTTGAAGTGCTAGAAAAGGTGGACACAATGCTCAAAGACTTGAGAGAAAAGGAAGAAACATTTGAAGACTTAGAAGCTTTAAATCAAACTCTAATTGTAAAGGAGCGTAAGAGCAATGATGAGCTGCAGGAAGCTCGTAAGGAATTGGTTAATGTAAGTTTTCTGTTTAATTTTTAATTTAAATGGTGCCTCAGTTACTTGCTTTTATAGTAAAGCAGACATCTGACATTCAGATGGTCTTACAAGAATTTGGAATGTAGTTTTTGAGTTTTGATTATGTAATTTGGGGCTGTGATTCTTAGGTCAATGTTACAGATTTTTGTTTGTGCCGAACCTTTTCTATAAGGATTTGAATGGAATGGTTTGCAGAAATGCACTTTTTTTGTGTGTGCATATTTAGTAGTTAGCACAACATGGTGTAGACGATGGTGAACTATGATCGTTAACACTATTTATAGTAGGCAGTGCGTGTGGAGGCAGACATGCTTTTCTTTGTAGTGGGATCTTCAATATTTGTACTGTTATATGGACTGAGAACTGTGGCCCTCTGTGTATCAGATATATTTAAAGTTCTGTTCTTAATTTCTTACACTTACAACAAGCTCCTCTATCTTGTCATAAAGTACTAATATTCTTACTCTACAGGGCTTGAAGGAAATATCAAATCGCGCTCATATTGGTGTTAAGAGAATGGGTGAGCTTGACAGTAAACCCTTCCAAGAAGCAATGAAGAGAAAGTATAATGAGGAAGAAGCGGAAGAGAAAGCCACAGAGCTGTGCTCATTGTGGGAAGAATACCTGAAGGACCCAGATTGGCATCCTTTCAGAGTTACTACAGTCAACGGGCAACATAAGGTGTACTCTCTATTAATATCAATATCTCATTGGATTTGATTCTTCTAGCTGTTTCCCTTAGCACTAGAAAATATCTGACAAAAAAGATAATATCAAATATGCTGGCCGAAGATAATTCTTAGATTGAACTAGTTTGGCTATCCCTGTGAGTTATGTGCTGTATCATTGCTTATCTAATTAGTTGGGCCAAATTTGTAATTGTGGTGGTAAAATCCTTTCCCAGTGACATACCTGATGTTCATCATATATGACCTCCATTCACATGCTTGTTTGGTTGTGTTTTAATATAGTTTCTAGTTGGAAATGGTTGGTAATTCTGCTTTGACATCGAAGGTTTCTAAAACATCAAATTACATATATAAAAAAATGTCCACGTGATTTCCATTCATATGTTATTGTTGAAGCATGTAATTGTTAAGCTCTAGTCATACACTAATGCCTGTGCTTTTCCTTTGAAACACTTGTCACTTGGCCTTGTCACCTTGCTTCCTTTTCAATGTTTTACGGTTCACTTGATATCAACATCACTGGTTCAGGAATTCATAAATGAACAAGATGAAAAATTGAAAGAGTTGAAGAAACAACTGGGGGATGAGGTGTATAATGCTGTAACATCAGCTTTAAAGGAGATAAATGAATATAACCCTAGTGGGAGGTATATAACTTCTGAACTGTGGAACTATGCTGAGGGACGAAGGGCTTCACTGCAAGAAGGAGTTGACTTTATTCTGAAGCAATGGAAAGTAAAGAAACAGCGGATGGAAGATTGAAGGTATTCAATGTTTGTCATAGATCTCTATATGGTTGGAATTTTCATTTCTTTTTTAGGGGGTGGTATCCGCCTAATTTGAGTATTTCAATTCTGTTTCTGCAGTTGTGTATGGCCAGCTTGGTGGATCATCCCAAGACTCAAAGAAGGACGGCGGTTACTAGCCTTATTATGTCCGGTCCTGGGGTCTTGCTGAATAAGTGGTTAACCTGAAGGAGGACTCTCTACCTTTAGATGTATTCATTTGCTTTGTTCATCAACTTTGATCTTTAATAAGACACTATTTACTAGTGTAGGAGAGGTAACTTAGTCCACATGGACACTACCCAACTTCTTCTTCAAACTCTCAGGGAAGGGAAACCATTTCCAACTATCGACATTTGACTGTGCTTGTATCATTAGTATTTGACAATGTATAACAGTATTGCGAGCTTTTCAGTTCCATTTATCTATCCATTACCACCTGACTTTGCCGGACCGAGAAAAACTTGCCTATAACGAGGTGTATACACATTATTTTCACATCTCCTCATGTAATAGCCATGTGATAGGGAGTGTATGCTCTCGTTATAGACAAGTTTGCTGTTGATTATTCTCACATCTCCTCACGTACCCTTGTGCATATCTCACATTGCACCCGTGACACAGAAGTTATTGTAGTCGGTTTCAAGCTTATAAAGAACTTATTAAAGTTTTGGATGAGCTGTTCAAAGAGTACAGAGAATTTCCGCCAAATAAGGTAAATCACTCGGTTGACTACCGGACGACGTCGTTTCTCTTCCAGCGGAGCGTACCACAACAAACCACTTCTTCATAATACGGCGCCATATTTTTTAAACTGAAACGGCGACGTTTTACTTTCCCATCTAAAAGCATCCACTAGTTTTTCTTGTAACCCTAATCCTATATATATTGGTGCTCTCTCTTTACAAAATCATTAGATCTCCGTCCGCCTACAGAGAGCATTCCTATGGAGACGAAGCACATCTCATCTTCTGTAAAATTAGGGCTGTGATTAGAAAGAGAGAGGCTTGAGTGGGAATGCTCGAAACACAGGAGCAAACCCAATTCGAATCTAGAAGGGGAAAGAAAACAAAGAAAACCAGAGCTCTCGCCGCCCCTTTTCATCCAAAGGCAGAGGCCTTGGCGTCTCTGGAAAAAAAAATCTTTGCTTTCTTTCCCTTTCGTTTCCATTGGGTTTCGACCCACAATGACAGGCCATCCAATTTCTATACACTTGATATGAGCCCTCGTCTTGTTTATAGATTTCGTTTGTTGTTTTTTAGGGTTTTTGTATGATTTAGGGTTTTATTGGGCAATACGGCACTTTTTGGGTTTTTTAAGAGGAAGTGATTTTTGATTTGCTTTCTCGTAGAGACCAATAGTGCATACAGTGAACGCCTGATTCGCACCGTTTTGGTGGGAGTTAGGCAGCGGCCAGACAACCGTAGTGATGGTATCCACAGATGGCGGGCTATATCTGTCCCGTTTGTCTACTGATTCCATCTCACATTTCTTCGATTTCAATCACTTCAAAACCCTAGAAATTATATTTATCCCATTGCTTTTCTCTTTTTTATCAAGGTTTAATTTTATGTTCCATTGTTGGTGGTTTTATGAGTTTTGGAATGGAACCAGGACTGCTTGAACATGATGGTTAAATCTCAGGAACAGCAGCCTGAACAAGTTTAAACAAAAGCCCAAAGAGGAGGCTGGGAAAGTGAGCAAAATGGGCTGAAATCTTTACTTGGTTTTAAACTCAAACTAAGAATTAATGAACTAGGAAAGTTCCAATTTGTCTGCAAAATGAGTCATGAAATTCAATGAGTGAGACAACATTTGAATCTGTAAATTTGTTGGACAAAATGTGCAAGAACTGAGGCTAGGGTTTCAATCTTTCGACATTGGGAAGATGCACTGTGCTGAACTATAAGACTAGAGAAACTCAGGATTTGCTCTATCTGAAACATACTCAATGCAGAACTTGATGACACACTTCATAATGAAGTTATGCAACAAAAACTTAATATGAGATTTCTATCTCGGAAGATGTACCACAGAACCGGACTACAAGGCTGAGAAAAAACAGAAATTGCTCCAATGCCTTTTTTTGTGTGGATGAGAAACCTCAACCTCAGTACACAACCAAATTGATAACTCTACCAAGTTATAGGACCTGACCTCATGCAGTAGAAACAACTTAAAGCTCAATTAGATTTAACACAAAGAATCCAACTACAGTTGCAATGAAGATAGCAAAATAGTGCTACTCTGTTTCATGGAAGTCTTTCTCCTATTTTTGCGTTTAGTTAAACACAGACACAAAATGTTTTTTTTTGTTTCTTATTCAGCTGCTAGTGGCAGACATCGCTTCAAAATCCATGATTATAGGTAAAATCACACACCAAGTGCGAACCATTGTCAAAAGCAAGCCCAAAAGCACTCAACTTGAAACAAATCAAAAGCAAGAAAATTGAAAAATACTTGATCATGTCTATAACTTATGGTATATATTATAACAACAACCAAAGCTGCGGGCTATATGACCAGCCACCTCAGCTGCTTACAACTTCACTTTTACCTTCTTCTTCTTTTTCTCTCTCCTCACCCCCCACCAACAGTCAAAAAAAAGTTTTTAACCGCACAACTCTTTCTCTCTTTTCCCAAAAACGAAATGATATAATAAAGCGGGAAAATTGAATATTAGACCCTGAAATTCTTTCCAGTGAAAGTTTGGCCAAACTGCCAATTGGCAGGGATAATGTTCCAGGAAGTGGAAGTGCGTCGGTCACTGCCTGTGACCCTGAAGGAGAGTGACTGTCCAGCCAAGACAGCATTTGACTGCCAGTTCTGACCCCAGTTGCGGCTCAAGCTCATCCATCCAGTCTTCGACCCTTTCACGCTCACCTTCACTATATCCCCTGCACCCGCGACGTTGGTGATCAAAACCAAGTTGAAGTACTTGAAGCCGTTGATCGTGAACCTGATCCCGCCTTGCTTCCGGCATGGCACCCTACACACAAAAGGGCATTTAAGTCATTTCATTATATATAAACCACGAGTCATTTTCACACAATTGATTGTCTAAACTACTCTAATTTAATGTCGGCGGAGAGGGAGCTCACCGGCGATAAGAGACAGGGACAATGCCGGCGCGGTACTCGGCGATCTTGAGGAACATGGGCATGGCGAGATCGAAGTGGGGGCGAGGAGGGTTGCACCAACCGCCATTGTCGTTGGGCAAGGCGTAATTTGGAGGGCAAAAGTTTGTGGCTGTGACAAAAATGGAGGGGCTACCAGAGTGACACCATTGAGGCTGATTTGCACACTTGATCTCGAAGCAAGCTCCACAGCTCAAACCGTTGTTAAAAAGAGCTGTGCTTAGTGCCGCTGTGTTCACACCGTAGCCTTGGCTGTACAGATTTCCGTACCCACATGCCCCTCCTGTATAGTACATACACAAAATCAATCAAAATGAATGAACTTTATGTTATGAACTAAAATTGGGACATTGTTTTTTTTTATAAAGAATGTGAGAAATTTAAGGGAAAAAATGATGTGGGTTTTTGAAATTGGGAGCTCCAAGTCCAAAAGGAATGAACTTTATGCCATGAAGTGAAATTGAAATATGGTTTTGCACAGAATTGGATACATTTGTGAGAAATTTTGGGTTTTTGAAAGGAATGAACTTTACGTCTATGAACCAAAACTGAAACGTGGTTTTCATGAAATTGCTACTTTACTTTGATGTGGGTTTTTGAAATTGGGAAGTCCAAATCCAAAAGGGATGAACTTTATGTTATGTTGTGCTTAGTGAAATACTAAAATGCAGGGGGTCATGAAATTTCTTGAACTTACCCATAGTTCCAGAGGCGTCACTGCCGCCATAGAAAGTAGCATGAGCACCCTGCCATGCCTCGCCAGAGTAGACACCAGGAATTCTGGCCTCAACAATTGTACTTGCCAATGCTATGAGAGAGACAATGCAGAGAAGAGCCATTGCTTTTCAGCAATTCTCTGGAAGAGAGAGAGAGAGAGAGAGAGGGAGAAATGGGTTTTTTTCTTGGAGGTTGGGTGTGAGCAGAAGGCAGAGGGGTGGAGTGCTATTTATCAAGGCCGAGGAGGCAAATTAGAAAGGGAAGAAAACAAACAATTGTCAAAAAGTGACCAAAATTATCACCTTAATTAATGCGGTTTGGTCTCCCTCCCTCGAGTAGCTAAAGCTTTTGGCGGTAATTCCATTCAACTCCTTTTTAACATGAACTGACAGAAATGTCATTTGGGGTTATTTGCTTTAATGGCTTTCACAGTATTGTTTTGTGGAAAGTTCAGGGGTATGCGGTGGAATTGGGATGATGATGCAAAATGTAGGAAATGTAGGGTCAACAAGGTCGGGGGCTCAAGGCTGTTGTGATCATACGGAATATGGATGGATGAAACCGGTTTGCTTCATCTGCAAGTGTGGCATCATCTGCAGCCTCTCTCTTTGGCCAACATGGATTTTCTTTCCTTTTATTCTTTTGACTTTTTTGAGACATTGGGGATGGTGGACTGAATAGGAGGGAAGACTTGCACTGCGTACTCAATAGTACGGTTAAAATGCTTGTGCACTATTTTACTTCCCGGGACATCCGAGGGGACATCCGAGTAATGTTCTCTTGCCAAATAATTTTTTTTAATATAAATAAAAGTGATATTGAGGGAGAATTCAAACACATAATCTCGGATACAAGTTTAACTGTTAGTAACCTTCCAACCCTTTCCAAAATAGTTTGTATAACTAGTAATTTAAATTATCAATCCGACAATATAACATGTAAAACTGTTTAAGAAAAGAACAGAATGTTGAGTTCAACCAAATTTTTTATTTCAGTCAATAATTTTTTTAATAATAATTTAATCTGTGGGTGGAGAAAGATCAAGCTAACAGTGGGATGGAGTTGGGTGGAATATAGCTTCTCACTTTTCGAAAAGAGGAAAATCAGATTCCTCTCCTCCTACCTACAGGAAGAAAGACCTCTGACTCCCCTACAATTTATCCGCAAATTGTCCAATTTTTTCAATTTTTTTTGCAATTTTTTCAATTTTTCAATTTTTCAAAGGGTGAAGAATTGGGTTTCCCTTCAAAGGGCCCAATAATTTCCGCATTCGTCGGTCCTCGTATTGCGCCGTGCATCTGTCGTACACATCCTGTCTTTTATATGTGGATACGGTGGACCTACGTATTGGCCTACGTCACTCTTGCTTACCTTCTAGTTGGGTCAAATAAATATACATCTTGCACCTAACTCAACCATATTGTAACCCTAATCTTATCCCCCTCAGCATCCTGTCTCACTAAAGCAACTCATCATACTAAGAACAATATAATAAAACTATTTGTATCATATTTACCGCATTGTAGATTGTATTGTACATATATGAGCCACTTCCGTAAGAATTTAGTATATAGTAATATGATACATGTATAATTACTCGATGAACGAAATTTTTTCATCAATCGTGTGCATTATGAAACTCGTTATCTAAATCTCGATCCCATAATCATATATTAGTAGGGGGAGGACCGGGGAGGCATATCTAATAACTTTAGCAGCAAAAGAAAAGCGTTTAAGTAAAGGAGGGGCGGAGAGAAAAAGCCTCAAAAACCGTTAGGAAGGTATGCTTTACTGCCTTTTGCATTAAGGATTTGGGATGAGAGAGAGACAGAGAGACAGAAGAAGAGTTTAATTCGTCCATGAACAAAATCTAAGAGAGATATTCACCACGTCATTGCAAATTATTTAGCTGTTGAACAACATACCACCAAACCCCTCGCCCAGTCACCCAGTTTTGGATTTTGTCCCATGAAGCTTGATCTCTATGCATGTGAAAATGCTGTACCAAAACTGTTTTTCTACCTCTTTCCTTTGTGCGTTTGTGTAGGTGGATTTGCATGACTCAGCTAGAGAGAAGGAGAGAAAGTCAAGTCAGCAGAGACACATGGCTTGGCTATGTAGCTATAGCATATGACGTTGGTCTCCCTTTGAAGCTGGGATGGATGTTGATGTTGTTTATTTTGCCTGTGATTGTGTTAAGTTTGAAACTTCTTTAATTCCATCACCCAAGTAGCTACTAGCTAGTAGAAATTAATGATTAAAATTGTTGGAGAGAGAGAGAGAGAGAGAGAAGCTGAAAATTTGGTTTTCTGGAAAAACAGGGTATGTTACTCATTTGATCAGAATTTTACTTCAATTAAAAGCCTAATTCATGCAAATGATTGTGAGGTGAGATATTCTAATGAAGGAAATGGGATTGTAAATGGTTGTGCATGGCATGCTTGTAATTGTGTAAGAGATATATAAATATTGTATGAATGATTGTCAACTGTTGATGCATGTGAATTTCACTGTCGCTCACAGTACATAATTAAGTTGAGTGTATAATAACCCAATCCCAAAAAGTTGAATACGGTTTCTTGAAGGTTTGGTACATTCCATTATACACTAAAGAATAATAATCATGACCAATTAGAACATAATGACCAAGTTGAATACGTTTCTTTAAGGTTTAATCACTTGGTCATGCATGCATGAAACCAAGTGATTAAATATTCAAACATTTGCTTGTGAGGTTGAAAACCAAATCAATAGCTCCTTCCCAGCAAACAAAACAATTACATCACTCAGTGTGCGAAAATTAGAGTGCTTGCTTATAGAGGAACAAATTGGCCTAATCTAAATTTCTTACAATTTGAAAGTTCATCATGATGCTTTGGTTGAAATCTTGCCTCTTCTTTCGTAGACCTACTAGGGACCATTTACTATATTTTCATGTCCCTCTTTACATGAAAAAAAAACATGTAACCATATCTAGGTTCCATTTAGTTTTACGCAAAGCCCCTACCATCAAAAAAATTCCAAGTTTCTCAAGCAAGCAAATTTAGAATCATATCTCCAACGTTCTTCTTTTTTCATACTCAAAACTTTATTCTCTCTCTCTCTCTCTTAAGGAGGGTCCCAAGTGCCTTCAACCAACATTGTTGACCCCCCAAAGAGCTTATGACAACTTTAAGCTTCACGAAGACTAACTACCACATCAACTATCATAACTACCACCCTCATTTATCGGGCAAAAGACCCAAATTACAAATCATTTTCACAATCAATTTTTTTATTTAATTTTTTTTATGAAGAAAAGTTTAAGGAGAAATTGGCTACTCTCACCACCGTCAGACCCCCAATCAATATTATATTAATGTAAGAGTTTTCATATCTTTCCATATTTTTAGGCGATTTAGTTATACTCTTATTAAATATAGATTATTAATTGGGGTCAATTTCCATATATATATATATATGTCAACATTCATTGATGAGCATGCATGAGAGCTATAGCCTCTGCTTTACGCAATGCAAGCACATGGTCCACATGGCTTTGCTGCCAAGAGTATATATGTATTAATTAATATTATATAATCAAGTCGCTAAATACGTGTTTTAGGTTAACAATAATTTGATTTTACACAGAGGTCAGTCAACCTTGGTTTGGCATTTACTTCTGTGGCACATGCATATATGCTGATAGCTATAGCTATTTGGTCTTTATTTATAGCCAAGCTACCTATGTGGGTCTATAATTATATCACTTTGGTATAACGAAGCGTTGAAGCTTTGAGACAAATATAAAATATTGATGATCATGAAATGAAAATGAATAAAACCATTTAATTTCCTTCAAAAATAATGCTGTTGAGTGATTATCCCTTGCACCTTGCAAAGTTGCAAGGCTATAATTAAATTGACAGATGAAGGAATTTGTGGAGCCCAATAGCCCACCTCACCCAATCTGAGCCCAATGATGTTTTTGGGTAGCTTCAAGAACATAACTACCAGCTCTCGACTACGAAGCAACCCACAATGATGGTCAAGCATTGGTTTGGGCTAGTTAGATATCAAAACTACAGAACCTCATAGAGAAACATTTCATAAAATCTAGAGCCGCCTAAGGTCCAACCTAGCCCACCTCACCCAATCTGAGCCCAATGGTGTTTTTGGGTAGCTTCAAGAACATAACTACCAGCTCTAGACTATGAAGCAACCCACAATGATGGTCAAGCATTGGTTTGGGCTAGTTAGATATCAAAACTACAGACCCTCATAGAGAAACATTTCATAAAATCTAGAGCCGCCTAAGGTCCAACCTTGATCCATATACAGTGTCCACTACAATTCTCTATTCCGGTAAATTTGAAGAGCTGTGAATTCTTAGGTCCGGCAGGTGGACCATACCATCAATCCGGCCACCTACACAAACAAGGTAGACACATGCATTAGAGTGGGATCATCGTGGGCTCGTGCAAGACTCAAATAACATTTGCCATACTTTTGCTCTCATGGAAATTTTATCTGTATAGTTTATCTCAATCTCCTGGCTGCCGCCCACCCGCCACCCTTTGTTTTAATTAGCTCCAATATATATATATATCTAGATCTCTTAGGATGTGGGAGGACAGCTAGCTTTAAGCTTTGGCGGAGCTAACATAGGCATATGTTCTTGCCCGGCGCATTATACATATTTAATTTAATTTTAATTTATTCTCTAATCTGCATCAACTCCTTTTAATGATTTTGGTTTGCAATATTCCTTCCTTCATTATAAATACACACTTGCCCTTTACCTTTGGTAAATGCATGTTTGCATTCACATTCCTGTTTCTTTTAATGACTTTTGTTCCAAATTTTTTTTATACAATATTTATCTTTTAATTAACTCTTTAATTAATTTATTTTTGTGGGTAGTCTCCGTACTTTATTAATTTACTTGTCTTTATATGAATTGACAATTATTCACATTCATGATGGATGATTGACTTTACCGCTAAATTATAATTATCAAAGACAAAGCTTTCAATCATAAAAATCAGAAAGAAAAAAAAAAGCAATTTAATAGCATGGATCTCATCTTACTAATGGATTTTATATCATGAAAATTTGCACATTTAATTGGAATACGTTGGTGCCGAATAAATTAACAGATTAATTCAGCATCATTTGGTAAAGTATATAGTTTAATAAGAATTATTGTGTTCTGATTACATGAGAACACATACAATTACTAATATATGTTATAAAACCATTAAAATTGGCTACGTGTCGGTTCATTATTGGTTTGTTAATGTAATTAAGACATCGTTAAGAGTCTTGAGACTTGCTTACATCACACGTAACATTGAATAAAGAACATATGAAAGCCCATTTCTTTTTTATTTTTTTAAAAGTAAAAAAAGAAGAAGAAAAAGGTAGGTGAAAGCCCAAACTCTAGGACACCATACCCAATCCACTATTTGCCACCAACCTGTCAAACCCAAAAAGTTTTTAATCTCATTTAATAAATAAATAAAACATTTTTTTAAAGAAGAAATGCGACTGACACGTGTAGGAAAAGGGAGGGGGTGACCGATTACCTGACACTTGGCGTGATTGGACAGTTACTACATTTCTTGAACGAAGCGAACAAAGCGTGTCAGAAAACTGATAATGCAGACAGTTTTGACGGGAAAACCGCGAACCATATTTGGCCACTCATTTCGGTATCTTCTAGGCCATTCTAAGCACCACACACGCATAAATCTATACTTTTTTTTTTTTGGGGGAAAAAAAGGCTGCGAAACCATCAATCAATCCCCTTTGTAACTCACGCCGTCAAATATTCTTTGCCTCATCCATTTCCACTCCAACTACAACATCATCCATGCCATGACATACCCGATTGCGACTCGGTACAAGTCGTGTAAAAAGTACACACAAATTCCACTTGTCAACTCCTCCTAATCTTAATTAGTCGTGTGGTCTTTGATTTTTGTTCTCGTTCTAATTTTAGACTTTTGATTTATGGGCAACTGACTTTAACACAAATTGAGTTGTTGTTAATTGTTTTTCTTGTGTAACACACTAAAAGAATGACCAATACCAAAATTTGACTTCAGATTGATAGTGTCTCTAATTCAACTACTCTGATATAGTATATAGTGAATTATGTATGCCCAATAAACTCATTCAGAAGGGTTTTTATCTAGTATGACATCCACCGTTATTTATTGTGGACCATCTATTTTTAGTTGTTTGTAGTACGATATTAAGTTATTCATATTTATAACCTGTATCGAGTCACACAACTGAAACATTTATTAGATTCGTTTTACTTTCTCACTTCCCCATACTAAATATATTCTCAAAACAATGTTAGTGCCTCACTAACGGAATTTTCAATCAACGCATGATGAAATATTCAAACTTGGTGCCTATCAATAGCTAGTAACTAGTACAAATTGATACATGAACAATTAAATACTATATATTTGAAGGGTATACTAACTTGTTTTATTTTCTTTTATAGAAACAGAGGAAAGCTAAATAATAATATTGACAGGATTTTGGAGCTAGATCCTTGGATCAATAGTGGATAAACCATCAAAGCTGTTGCTTAGGAAAACACTAACTGAGTGTTATTATATAAGCAAGTGGGCATCCCATGTAGTAGGATAGGTTACTAAAAAATAATTGTGGATTAAGGGATCTTGGCTGATGCTAACACTGGGTTACTGTGTGTTTTCGTAATTTGATTAGACATTTAATTACTTTGGAATATTAAAATCATGCATTATTGGGGTGATTCCAATTGCCATATGATATTTTAAGTTCCAAGTTTATGAATCTATTGATCACATGATTACAGAGAGAGATGTGGGGCAAGGTCCAAGGTGATCAACTCTTTCGTTATATTAATTTTAATATTCTAATATTTTCAGATCCATCGATCTCGAGTGATAGAGAAAATAATTTCGTTACTATTATTGAGTTTAATTTTTTAATTACTGTTTGTTTTGTTGATAATATTTTAATTGTGACACTGATTCTTGCTGGTAAAAAGCAAAAGGGCTGCTCTAAGAAGCTGAAGAAATCAATACTCAATATCCTTTTTCATTAAGTTAGACCATGTTAGTTAAGTTTCACTTGATTTTATAACATATTAACCCGCTATTGAGTTTGTGTACTTAAAAATATTATAGTTTATTTATGCTCATAACTTTAGTGATAAAACACTTGTACGATGTCGCATAAAACGTTTTGCCATATTTCTCTTCTCTCTCATACGTACCTCACTGGAAAATAAAAGAAGTTGGTAGGTTAACCAAATTTGTGAAGTTATTTACTAACCAAATAGTGTCCCAATACAATGTTAGCATCTTATTTATTAGAAACACATAAAGTTCATATTGAGCTCAAATATACTACCTATCGCATTATTTGGTAAATAAAATTTAGTAAAATAAGATAAATGTAGCATACCAAAAAAGATACACTTTTATTTGGAAAAATTTATCACGCATGACAATAACATTATTACGATTCCATCCAAATTAGAATAGGTAAAATTTACCTTTTAACATGACTAATGGTATGTTCATCAGAATTGTATTAAATTCGTAATATCATGAAAGCTTAACTTATAACGTTACCTTACACCAAAATGGAGATCGTGCTTTGCTTATGCAGCTTCCATTAAAACGATTTTTTAAGTGGACCAAGGTAATAACGAAAGAAATGAGCTTCAACTTGTTAACTGATTATCGAAAATTAAAAAATTGAAAATTATAAAAAGAAAAAAAATATTAATTTGTGCAATTTTTTTCCTTATCCTAAAAATAAAAAAATAAAAAAGAAAATCTAACGTGGGTTTCGTAAGAGAGAGAGGGAGGTCCACGTGGCAAGACAGCTCCATCACCTCGTGGATGTAGAAAGAAGAAGAAGAAGGAGAAGAACTGGTCCAACACAAAGGAGAGAAAACAAGGAAAGGAAGAGGTTTAAAGGCAACCTGCAATTACCCGGACATTAATGCCCTTTTACTGGCTGGCCCGGTTTTGTGGTCAGAAAACCATAGACTTATAAGAAGGGGTTTAAGCCACTGTTTTGCATGGTTTTTGTATATACAATCAATCAACCTCTGGGGACTTGGGTTTTTCACAGAAAGAGAGAGAGATATATATATATATATATAGAGAGAGAGAGAGAGACAGAGAGAAACATATATATATACATATATATATGTATATTATATATTATATAATACAGAGTTATTTTGCTCAATTCTCAATTCTAATTCTCCCAGATCTCTTACACATTTCCCATAAATTCTGTTTTTTCCCTGAAAAATTGTAGATATGCTGTTTTTAGTTTAACACAGAAGATCTTTGTCCAAGAAAGAGGTGAGTAAATCAAGTCTCTCTGTTGGATTTTGGTTTTCTTTCTTTGATTTCTGCTGGGATTTTCTGTGATGCAATTTGGGTTCAGTTGTTGAGAATTCTGCCTCGTTTGTGGTCAATTACTGATGGGTTTTGCTTCGGCTTTTTCATGTATATTCGAATTTTGAGCAATTGGGTGTTCGATTCCTGCATGCAATTTGAAATTCTGATTGAGATCGGGATCTGATATTGGAATATAGGCCGTGTTTGCTTGTGCTGAATTGTGTTTGATTGGGAATTGGTGATCATGATCAGAATCATCGGTTTCATTTTGCATGGAGTCCATTTTTGTTGATCTGAGGTTTATGGGATTTTAGTTTTAGTTTTGAATTCATCTCTGCGTGAAGCATATTATAGACGGAAGATCCTAATTGGCGTTGAATTGTAATTGCTTTTGCTGAATTGGATTTCATTTGGAATTCTTCAAATTATGTATTCATTTTGTTCAACATGGATTTCGTTTTCTGGGTTTTGGGTTTATGAATTTGAATGCAATTTACCTTTCTAAGTTCCTCGCTGTCTTAAGCAACTAGTTTCAGACGTGACTGGGGTCATGACTTCCCAATTTGGGTCCAATTTATGGCTGATATAGTCTGTCTAATTACCTGGAATTTTCTTTTCAAAAGACTCTGTTTAGGGTTTTAAGATCTGGTATTTGATTCACTGGGAAACAGATTCGTTTTCTTTTTATAACGTTTTCATTTCTCAAGTCTCTTAAGTAATTTTCCAAATTGGATTTTGGTAAACAATCAATCTCAGTGATCTGTTTGATTTCTGATAAATTGTGGAAAGGAGTAGGCTTACACCCAGAGGCTGGTTGGGTGCTTGGAGACTTTGATGGCCAATCATGAGTTTTACATTACTGATCATGGAGGCAGCCTAGAATTTCTTGCTATATTTATTTATTTATTTTAGTTCATATGTGTAGCTAAATAAAAGAAACACTACTTCGATATCGTTGCTGGATTTTATTATAAGTAGTCGCGATATAGTAGTCTGATCTAGTATTCTGAATTGATGATTGTCTTCCTCTTGGGACAGATAAGATTGTGTTTCAATTATGTAACCACAATTTCCCGTCAAGCTTAGCCTGACACGTATTCTTTTTCTATAAAATGGAAATCTGTTGACAGTGAATAGGATGCGGGGGTGATGCTTCTTTGTGTTTGATGAGTTCAAATTGCCATGTATGCTTGAGATATGGTGTTGAAGAAGAGGCTAGATTTTGGATTTGATGGCTTCCAGGTGCCTTCTATACCTAGAGCTCCCAGATCAGCTAGAGTAAGTGTTCTCCGAAATTCTAGGATTGTCTTTTTTTTTCTTTTTCTTTCCTATCTTTTTTTGGATGATTAACCTCGTATTAAATTCACGAATCTTCGTTTCTTGTTCCAGAGGAGGGGCCCACATAAGAAGTCGGTTGACAATGGGCAGATCTGTGCATTTGAATTATTGGCTTCATTAGCTGGCAAGTTATTGCAGGAGAGTGAAAGTTCTTCTGCCTCTAGTAATGCTTCTGAAGGAAATTCGAAGCCTGCCTTTGGCAAAGATGTTAAGCAGGAAAGACAAGATGAGCATAAACCTCTAAAAGAAGAGTCCGTTGATCAGGGAAGCTCTGAAGAAAGTGTTTCTCTAGAGCTGACCTCCCAAAACATCGATCGGAAGTTTATTCTCAAAGAATTTCCGCATGCAGAGAGTGATACTGTTTTGGAACACACTTCAGTTATTACAAATTCTGACAGCTCAGCGAAGGCTGGAGGTCATATGAAGTCTGTAATTTGCAGTAGCAGGCCCATATTTCAAAGTTATTCCAGTAAAGTAGAGGGAGGCTCCCAGGGTATTGGGGAGTCCTGTTATGGTAATGTAGCAAATGGAGTTGAAGTACAGAAAGATAGTGAGCGATTAGAAACTGGAACTTTGACTAGGGCTAACCCATTCAGTTCCAAGAATCCAACTGAATTGCATGCAAAATATCCTGCAATGCTCAATGGAGACAATAATGTCAAATTGTCATTGTTCAGGGATCCTATTCCTAATGCTTCTTTTTCCAGGCATAGGAATGATATTGAATTAGGTAGTAGAGATGATGACGAAAACATTTCTAGGTGCAATAAACCTAGCAACAAGGTGAAGGTCTTTAGGCCTTCACCCCGTATTGGAGACCGAAGAATAAGGAAATTACTGACATCCAAGTACTGGAAAGTGGCTCCAAAATTAAGGGATTGTGAACACTACAGATATGGTAAGTGGCTGATTAGTGGTTTGACTAGGTTAGCCTCATATTTCTCCAAACTTGTGTGTGCCTATGAGTCATAAATTCACGCTAATTATTTTTTAATGTTTAGTTTATGTTCTTGGTTTTCCTAGATGGGGGAATAAAACCTATTTATCACAAAAGGAAAACCTTATACAGCCGGGAAAGATCTCAACGCGACACTCTTTATAAGAAGAGGAAATTGGTTGACCGGAGCTCAGTAGTGACTTCTGATGGAGGGTTCAGTGGTGAAAGTGTTTCTAATTCACCTGATAACGGAGACAAAAGTGGTCCTGCTGGTATGTAACATTGGCATACTTTCCTAATTCTTTACTTTGCTACTGTTCCTATATGTACCATTGGGATTTAAGGTTTGTGGCATTCATTTTGTTTAATGGTTGTCTGTGCAGAAAACGGGGTATCAGCTTCAGTTATAGGTCATCAAGCATCTTCCCATTCCAAGGAATCTCACGGTAGTTAAAGCTTTTGGTGGTTTGGTGCACAGACACATTTTTTTAGATTGTGTTTAACCAGTATCATGGTGCATTATGTTTTCTTGGACAGTGAAATTCAGAATCAAATCCTTTAGGGTACCAGAGCTTTTCATTGAGGTCCCAGAAACAGAAACTGTCGGTTCTTTGAAGGTATTAACTCAGCCCAATTTTCTTTCATACTTGCACTGGCCACAAAACTCATTTTCTTAGTGTACAATTTGTAGGTTTTTCTTCTTCCTGTTAACAATGGCATGGAATATGCTTGTTTGGGGTTCTATTTTAGCAAGTAGTTGCTGACTATTCGTCACTTCTGGGCCTAAATAATTTGCATTTGTGTTATGACATTTTACAGAGGACAGTCATGGAGGCAGTGAATTCCATACTTAGAGGTGGATTAAGTGTTGGAGTACTTGTTCATGGGAAAAAGGTTAGAGATGACAACAGAACTCTACTGCAGACCGGAATTTCTTGCAAAGACAATTTGGATTCTCTGGGTTTTACTTTGGAGCCTAGTCTTGTGCAAGCTCCTCCATCTTTGTGTTCTGGCGATCCTCCTCCTTCATTATCATGTGAGACTTCGGTGCTGTTGACCAGGTAATTCTGATGTTCTGTGAGAAGACCTAAAGTTGGAATTGATTTGATCGGCCATTTTAGCACTTTTCTATTTTGCAGCCCAAAGGGGTCAAGTTTTTGTGTTTTTTTTTTCACCATTGTTGATATGTTAAATGGATGCTGAAATGGTATTTTCATTTACTGAATTTTATGACTTTTCCTTTTATGTATCTATTTAAGTCTATTGTCACTTATACCAATATTTTTAAGGCTGGTGATGCCTCATTTAATTTGTTTTAATATTAGAACAATTAATGGTGGATGGCTTTTCTTAGGAATTAGAACTGTTATGCCTTATTTAATTTGTTTTAATATTAAAGGCTCAGGCAGGTTATTCAATTTTTCTCTGTTCCCATGAATTTCTAATTAATGCAATTTTGCATAATGATTCTTTTATGATTAATATGTGGAAAAATATGTTAACCTTTAATTACAATTGATAGGACAAGATTTTGGATTATGGTTCTGCTCTATTTGACTTGAGTGATAGCTTTTCGCATATGCACTCTGTCAGTTTTCATTATAGCTAATATTGCATTATTGTTTCAGGTCCCCAGGCACACCTGTCTTAGACTCTGTGATGTCTGATGCGTTATCTGAACCCCCACCTCTAACCCATTCAGGCAGTCTTCCTGAAAGTAATCATGAATTGGTTTCCTCTCATATTGACATATTGACCAACAAAACAATGCTGGAATCCCAGGCACTAGTTGCTATTCCAGAAATGAGCATGGAGCCACTATCTGTAGTTCCTGTGAACCAAAAAACTAAGCGATCTGAGCTTGTACAGCGTCGAACCAGGAGACCATTCTCTGTGTCAGAAGTTGAAGCATTGGTGCAGGCAGTTGAGGAACTTGGAACTGGAAGGTGTGATGTTCTTTACCACTTAAACAGGATCAGCACGGAGATGTATGCTTCCTTTTAAAGGATACATAGTGCTTTAACAATATTCTGAATCTGCAGGTGGCGTGATGTTAAATTGCGTGCATTTGAGAATGCAGATCATCGAACATATGTGGACTTGAAGGTAAATTTTGTTGTAATTATTATCGTAGTAAAAGGATTCCAGAAACTCTGAAAATACACAGTAGAAATATTTATGGTATTCAATTCTTATTCCCAAACCTTACAATTTGTTTGATCCATATGAAAGATTGGTTATTTTGTAGGTGAATTTTCTCAGTGTATTTTTCATGAAAGATGTACAATCATACCCTTTAAATTTTTTCATGACTAGCTTCAGATGTGACTTCTTGTTGCAGACCAATCTCGTCCTACATTGCTCAATCATTTTTACTTATTTTATTTATGAATTAGTAGATTGACTACAGAGTTTTGCGTTCACTTCTCTGGAAAAGCACAAGTTACATGATTTATGTTGGACTTAATGTGCTTTGCGGTTGTATGCAGGATAAATGGAAAACCTTAGTTCACACCGCAAAAATCTCTCCTCAGCAAAGAAGGGGAGAGCCTGTTCCTCAGGAGCTTTTGGACAGAGTACTGGCTGCCCATTCTTACTGGTGCCAACACCAAGCTAAGCAACATGGCAAGCATCAGGGCGGTATTATGAAGATTACAGAGGCCCCGACTGATAAGACATGGAGCTGAAAGGTATCCGATTGTATGATGTAGAAAACAGGAAAAGTTGACAAACAGGGAAAGAAGACAAATGTACAAATGACCTAAATTTGTGTAAAAATCCTCACACCCACAGTATGATTCATTGCCGGCGTCTCTGTCTGAGGAGGTCGGCAAATGTAAATGGTTCGTCGGAATAAAGATCAGTCTAACAGAACTCACAGTTGTTTTAATTCAATTGATTTTATTTCATCATGATTTGAAATGTAGAAATGTGAATGAACATCAACATGAATAAAGTTCTTTTATTGTCCTCTTCTGCGGCTTAATTTTTTCTTGCTGCTTCTGTCAATGTTCTTTGAGTTCCAGTGCCATAACCAGGATCTAGATATGATGCTTGGCACATAAATTTTTCTCAATTTATCCATATTTATTCATAATGGTTCACTTGTTTCCCAATTGCCCTACTGTTAAGTTCTCAATCAGCTCCAATTTTGAGCCGGTCATGTTATGCTGGTAACTTGCAGAGGAAGTCCATCAAAGGTCTTTGTTTCAAAGATGGCTGCATCATTGGGGTTGCGTATAATTAACACCTTTCTGTTGGACTGAGTATTAAAGTATAATTATATGATATTTTTGTACAAATTGTCAACTAAATTGGTGGCTATTAGTTTTTTTATATAAAATTTATGCGGGTGGCTCTATTAGTTAATATCTGACACACTAGCACATTTGGCACGTGCCCAAGCACATGCTTAAATGAACAAAGAATTCTATCTATCCAGTTGGGTTATCTGTCAAATTTGTAGTCTACTTCTCAATCTTTATTTTTATTTTTTTAAGGACATTTCTTATTGAGAGGGGTGATAACATACTAAACTCACACACATTATACGGATACTAGAATTCGAACTCAAAATATTTCAAGAGGGAGCATTTACTCCAAATCTCTACATTATTGAGTCATTTACTACTCAACCTCTTTTTGCCCCTTACCTACGTATGCTGTACTGGTTAGCAATTATCACAAGAAAGCACATGTCTAAAAGTTAACCCAGAACCTCAAATGTTGAACAACAAGGCCCAAATCAATAGTTGAACCCTAGCCATTCATGAAACAACTTTCCATAAAGGGGCTTCTGAGAATTTGATCTCCTCATTCAAGGTCTAGGGCTTCCTTGCTTTTGGGCCTTTTGGTCCAACATAATATGAATAATGGCAATGGGGCATGGCCAATTGTAAATTGTAATCTCAAGAGCCAAGAATTTAGGGTTCCAGCCAATGAGTTCTTCCACAGTGGTGGTGACTTCCCCCTTCCCCCCATGGCACCTCCGGTCGAAAACCCATGTGTGCGCATTGGTGCTTGAGCCCCCTTCCCTTAGAGTAGCCTATCGTTGTATCACACAAAAAAAGGAAAAAAGAGTTTAGGGTTCCAAATATTAATAAGAAATTAGTAGGACTAATGTTTTAAGGGGATAGCTTTAATTTTCATGAACATCTAGAGGCCTCTATGCGTGGAGGGACCATGAGACCATGACATTGATTTTATGACAACGAGTGGTCGAAGTTTAAGGTCAAAAACCTAAGAGGCAGCAGAACACCCTTGTCGTTATAGAAAGCATGGCAACTTATGGAAGTATTAGATTAAGATTAAGGTTAAAAACCTAGGAGGCAGAACACCCTATTGTGATAAATTCACTTTATTCGCATTTGCGAGATAACTATTTTAGATTAAGATTGAAAACTACAAAATTGAAAGTCGACCAATAATCGAACTGCCAACTTTCACTCTTTTCTTGTTTTGAATGATTCATATTGTCATTGTACTTGGATTTTTTTTTTAAAAGTGTCCTAAATTGATAGATAAATAATCACATTTGACGGCAGAGATTGTCCTTCCCCACTATAAACTTAAAAATAAAAGGCACAAACTCGAATCTTCATCAGCTTCAATCACCGGTTGCTCTCCCTCTCTCTAGTTTTCTAGTTCTCTCACAAGGGCCTAATTTCAGGTACTTATTCTTTATCTATCAGCTTCTTTGAATGCTTAGATCATTGTGCTACAACAAATGAATGAACTATGGCGCTTTCTCTTCCTTTTTATTTGTATTTTTTTTTTCAAGAAAAGTTCAACCTTTTCTCAATAGAAACTGTGGCTCAAACTGTAACAATTGTGGGTTTTGATAATTTTACCTGTTCATTTGCTTATGTCTTGTTATGCTTCTCATGCTGTTTAGGTCCTAAAGAAATCATTTTTATTACACAGTATCATATCATGTAATGAATCAAAAAGATGTATTTATACATATCTTGTAGGTTTAATTTTTCTGGGTCTTGATGCATGCAGAAATCTGATACTCTAAATGTGTTAGTCTGGAAAAAGCTGAGATATAGACAAAATTGAAGCATATTGGAGCTTTTGGGTCTTTAGTGTTGTGAATCTCAATGATCATGGACCAATCTTTGAGTGGATTTTATGGTTCTAGTAATGAGTTGTTGGAATTGAGGAATGAAACTCTTTCAGCCTTATCAATCAGAATCTAGATACTGGAATCAGGAACAGTAGTTAATTTCTTGATCAAAACTGTGCAAGTACCCTCCTTGTGCCTCCCGGTCCAATTTCTAGTAATTTGGCCCCGGCTTTGAGCATGTACCCGGATGAAGATTCACCCGAGGAATCTGATTTTAGTGATATAGTTCTCGAGTACATTAGCCAAATGCTTATGGAAGAAGATATGGAAGAAAAAACTGAAATGTATCAGGAATCTGCAGCACTTCACGCTGCAGAGCAATCATATTATGAGCTTCTTCAAGAGAATTCTTCTTCTCCTCCTTGTGACCTGATTCATTATGCTGATCACAACCATGAAAGTCATCCGTTGCATTGCAGTTATAACAGTACTACCTCTGGCAGTACCAGAAGCATTAGGGATTGTGATTTGCTCGAATATAAGTCCTTGCATGTTGCTTCTCAGTCTACTTCTCTACCATTCCATGCCCCATCAAATGAAACTGGTAATGTTGTAGATGGGTTTGCGGATTCCCTGGTGAGCATTGTTAGAGATCCTGAATTTTCTAATGATACTGAGTTGGTTATGCAATTTAAAAGAGGCTTTGAAGAGGCGAGTAGGTTTCTTCCAAATGCTAATAGTCTGAATGTTGATTTTGAAAGTAACACGTTGTCACTTAAAGAGGGCAAGGCAGAGGCTATAGGTATGGTAGTTAAGGTAGATAAGAAGAATAAGTACCCTTCTGATGGGTCAAGGGGAAAGAAGAATCCTTATCATGAGGATGTCAGTTTAGAAGGCGGGAAGAGTAACAAGCAATCAGCAGTTTACACTGAATCAACAGTGAGTTCGGAAATGTTTGACAGACTTTTGCTAAACTGTGGAAAAGGAGAATCTGCTCTTGGTGAAACTTTGCAGAATCGAACAATCAAGAGTGTACAACAGAATGGTCAGTCAAAGGGGTCAAGTGGTGGAAAAGCCCGCGGAAAGAGGCAGGGAGGTAAAAAGGATGTGGTGGATTTGAGAACTCTTCTAACGCTTTGTGCACAAGCTGTTGCAGCTAATGATGAGAGGACTGGCAATGAGTTACTTAGGCAGATTAGACAACATTCTTCTCCTATGGGAGATGCGATGCAGAGACTAGCTCACTATTTTGCTGATGGTCTTGAGGCACGCATGGCTGGATATGGTACTCAGATTTGCAGAGACCTTATAACCAAGCGAGCATCAGCTGCAGATTTCTTGAAGGCTTACCATCTTTATCTTGACGCATGTCCATTTAAGAAGCTATCAAATTTCTTCTCAAATAAGACAATAATGAATGTAGCTGAGAAAGCAACAAGGCTCCACATAATTGATTTTGGTATCCATTATGGTTTTCAATGGCCTAGCCTCATACAAAATCTCTCTTCTAGGCCCGGTGGACCTCCCAAGCTTCGGATTACTGGGATTGATCTTCCACGACCAGGTTTCCGACCTGGAGAAATGGTTGAGGAGACTGGACTGCGCTTAGCAAACTATGCAGAAACTTATAAAGTTCCATTTGAATTCAATGCAATAGCACAAACGTGGGACACCATTCAAATTGAGGATCTCAAAATTGATCGTGATGAGGTGCTTGTTGTAAATTCTGTACACAGATTAAGAAGACTACTTGATGAGACTGTGATGGTCGAAAGTCCGAAAGATATGGTTTTAAAACTGATCAGGAAGATCAATCCAGATGTGTTCACGCTGGCGATTGTTAACGGATCCTACAGTGCACCGTTCTTTCTCACAAGGTTCCGGGAGGCTCTCTTCCACTTTTCTACAATGTTCGATATGCTTGAGACAAATGTACCCCATGATGCTCCGGAGAGGATGCTTATTGAGAGGGAGATATTTGGTCGGCAGGCAATGAATGTCATTGCGTGCGAGGGTTCAGAGAGGATCGAGAGACCAGAGACATACAAGCAGTGGCAGGTGAGGAATCTCAGGGCTGGGTTTACACAACTTCCTTTGAATCAGGAGATTGTGAAGATAGCTAAGGACAGGCTGCAATCATGCTACCATAAAGATTTTGTAATTGATGAAGACAGCCAGTGGCTGCTGCTTGGATGGAAAGGGCGCATTGCCTATGCTCTTTCTTCTTGGAGGGCTGCTTGTTAGTTGTTCTTAGATTGTCTTTTGATGTACATAATTTGTTCTTGTTAATTAAGGTAATGGATTAATTTAATACCTCTTATGTAAAATTAATTAAATATATTGCCAAATTGAGAAAAAATATTTAGAACTTAGCATTGTAGGGCTTTACCCCGAAGGGAGCCCTTCCAGAAATTCTCGAAGGCACAGGGCTGAACCCAGGCCTAAGAGGGGGTTTGGAAATAGTTTTCAACCAGCAATAGACGCGCCTCGGTTAGAACCTCATAAGCTGCGTCATTGCCCCAAGCGCAAAGATGCTTTGTTAAGCGGGTCTCGTTCCTGTTTTATACATTCCCAGGCAACTCACCCTTTCTCATTCGGTCGATGTGGGACAAAAACAAACACCTTAATATTATTTCACAATTCTAATATCAAACAAAAAGCTACCGACTTTTACCACCAAAACTTGGTTTCCGAAGAAAAAATTAATTTTTTTATTATCTCCGATGATGTTGGGGTTTAGGGTTTTATAACGTTTTTTGAGAAGACAAAGCAGAAGAGAGAGGAGGGGTAAGATGAGTGGGGCAGGAAAACCAGATTTCTTCTACAGAGAAGCTCAACGCCTGGGTTATGTGGCTCGCTCCGCCTTCAAGGTATTGATTGATTTACGTATTTACCCAAAAATAGCTGGCTTCAATTGCTACTGATCCACCCATTTTTTAATCAGCTACTTCAGATACAGAAGCAGTACAAGCTCATAACACCTGGCTCCTCTGTTCTGGACCTTGGTTGTGCTCCTGGTGCTTGGCTTCAGGTCCCTTTTTCATTTCAAAATCCGAACTTTAATTCCACATACATATTTGCAGGCATAGTATCATGGAATTTCTGGGTTTTGTAATTTTGGCAGGTGGCTTGCCAGAGCTTGGGTCCTGTAAAAAGTGGTGGTCTTGTTGTTGGGATTGATCTCAAGGTCTCATTTTTTGTTCACTTTTTAGTTAAATTTCCGTACTTGATTTGTTTGTTCAATACTTTAGATAAAATAACTAGGTTGTGAAATGTGGAATGTGCAGAACAGAAGGTGAAGGTTCCAGCTGCTCACTGTGATTCGAGGGTTCAAACTGTTTGTGCTGACGTGATGAAACTCCCCAAAGCCCAAGTCAGGGAACTCTCTCCACAGGTATTGCAGTATAGGCTTCTTAAAGTTTATGTTAACAGTTATGTTTCAAGGGTTGAAAATGCTTGTGCTAATTCATGTCTTTCGCTTGTGGGTACAATTCAAATCTTCACAAAAACTCGTCTTGCTGTTCTTTTAATTTAAGATTTTGTTCTCCTCTAACCCTGTTTCAGGATGTTTGAATGTGTGAAACAGATCATTTCTTGGTTCCTTGCATAATTTTAAGATTGAAAATCTTTCCATGAATTTCCAACTTATAAAAACCAACCCTAGTTTTTGTCAAGGCAAGCATGATGTAGGAGTAAAAAGATTTATGGTTTTCCCATTGTCTTTGTGCAGCAGAAAGGGTTTTCTGTGATACTCTCAGATATGTGTCCCCTCGTTTCTGGGATCACAAGTAAAGATGCAGCTTTATCGCTCGAGTTAGGCACACAAGCACTGGATTTGGCTGTTGGTGGAGCTGCCTTAGCTCATCCCAAAAATGAAATTCAAATAGAGGAAAGTAAAGGTGGGGCAATTACAAGTTCAGATGTTAATGGTGTATTGCGAAGAGGAGGCCATCTCGTGATAAAGCTTTTAGAGAGCGAGGATGTGCAAGGTTCTTTTTATAAATCCTTTCTTTTTCCCCCTTTTTGGGTAACATAAGTGGTACTTGCTTCATTAAAGCTCTGTTTGGATACTTTTTTTACTGTCTTCTGGCTGTTTGTCTTGTAGAATTCAGCCGGATTTGCAAACCACTGTTTAGAAAGGCATCATTGTTGAGGCCTAAAGCTACAAGACCGTCATCAAGAGAGATTTATGTGATATGTCAAGGTCTGCAGTCACAGGCAAAGATATAGAATCAACAATGTATCCCGAATTTAGAAGTGGCAACAGTGAGTATTGAAGCCAAATTAATGTAGCTCCCATAACTGTACCCGCTGGCTAGCTTTTAGTTGTGTTTGTTCTGAACTGCTTAGCTTTAGATTTCCTTGTAAAGGTTCTGCTAAAAAGATTTTACCCTTTGAATATGAAGGTTTTATGTTCATCTTCTGTATTATTTTGCAAAGACTTCTCTCTCTCTCCTGAAACAAACATTTGTGAACATTGTAGGCGAGACTAACAAACTCTTCAAATGCAAGACTGTGTTCTCAATTGGACCAACAATTTATCTCACTGAAATGTTACTTATGAGAGATTGCCATTGAAAGTTACTAAATGTAGGCTTTATATGATTTTCACTTCCATTTTCACGAACCAAGTTGTGATGGCATACACGTTTTCCATGTGCTTGGGCTAAAATTGGGATGCGAAAAAGGAAAAGTGGAAAGGAACAACTGATGAAATGTTTCATTGAATTTCTTAACCTTTATGTTTTACATATTAGACCAGAGACAAAATCCAAGACTTCAGTGTCGAGTAAAAAGAATTAAAAAATGAAAGAAATTTATCTGCCTCTCACAGTATCTCCATTTACAAAATAGGATCAGGGAAGTATCTTCTTATAAATTACAGTATCTCCATTTACAAAATAAGATCAGAGAAGTATCTTCATATGTGTAACAGAGTCATCGAATCTGAGTTCTTCCTAGTGACCAAAGGCCTGTATCTTTGACTGGTGTCTGAAATACCAAACAAAAAAAGAAAGGATCAGCGATGTAGTCATTATAGTTGGAGAGAAGATAATTGATGGGCAGCTTAAACTTTGATCAGTATAAGGAATGGATCTTGATATTGATGCTTACATGTGTCTTCACAGAAGGGAAGACATTCCAGAATCGTAGGGTCTCATCTCCAGCACCAGTTACTATTGTCTGCAGTAAAAGCAATTTCATTTCTACTTGTTAGAACAGAAATTTCGGCGTAAACAAACAAGAATTTGTGTGTGTACAGGAATGGAGCAAATCTTCAAGCTTTAGAAAATGACGCAATACCTGACCATCTGGTGACATTGCAAGGTAAAGAACTCGCATGCTATGGCCAGTTAGAGTGGCAACCTATAAGAGTGCATTCCAAAAGCAATTAAATAGAAATCTTATAACTAGACACAATCCACTTACGGTTCGACTTGAAAGGACATTTACTAAAAAGCTAACCTTTCCCATGGATGGATACTTCCACACCATGATTTGATTCTGGGAATATCCATGAGTGCTGACTATCTCATTCACATTCTTACTCCATGCAAGATTGCAGACCTGGCTTCCGGTATCAATACTGTTCAATTGGTGGCCATTTGTCGTGTTCCAGAAGCGAATACATCTGTCAGCAGTTCCACCTCCGGATACAAGAAGGCCACTCTGGTGTGGTGACCAAGCAATGGCCTTGACTGCAGCTGTGTGCTCTGTCAGTCTCAAAGCTGGTTGCTGAGAGTGCTGGTTCCAGACCAAGAGCTGGTCACAAACAAGCCACTAAGTTAGCTATTGGCCCAGTTAAACGCAGAAGAAAGCAAGAGAAGAGGAAAAAAGAATGAACAACTTAGTCACATATACCTGGTTATCATTGCCACCAGATGCAAGTTCCCTGTCATCATTGGACCATTTCAGCCCGCATACCTGAGGAATTGAAATTTTTACTAAGTATTACTTGTGTTTGACCAAGAACTGCTTAATTTTTAGAAGTCTTAAAGTCTTCACCTCAGACTTGTGGCCAACAAGCTTGCTGATGCAATCATTTGAGACCCGAAGATCGTGTTGAAGTATGTTCCGGTCCCGGCTTCCTGAAGCTAATATGCGTGAGTTCCATGCCAAGACACCAGTCCTTGTTTGATGCCCGCCCATTGTTCGGACCCTCTTGCACTGAGTCCCATCCCAAACCTAATAACAAACGCCACAATTAATGGTCATCTCAAACTCTTTCTTCATGAGAACAAAAATACTATCAAGTCAAACAAATAGCTACCTGAACTCGACCAAGATTTGTGCCAATTGATAAATATGAACCCTCCTTTGTCCATTGGACAGAGCATACCCCGTCATTGGGCCCCAAGTCACACAGTTTTGTCACCTGAGAAAGACAATGTATGACAAACTTCAATCCCAAATTTTACAAACCTATTTAGATAAAGGACACTTTGATAGAGACAACTTTCTCATTAGATCAGCTCGATCAAACTCATTACTTACCTTGCTGTTTGATGCACTCCACAGATAAACGCAGGTGCCCAGTCCAACTGCAAGGACATTTTGCGAGGACCAGTCCACAAGGTTCAAGTAAAAGTCATCTTGAAGTGATGGGGCATCCAGAACCTGCAAACCATTTAGAGCATTTCAAGATCAACCATTGCATTTCCCATATGAACTAGTAAAGTAACATAGCCTTCAATGATCAATCATTTCCTCTAATCAGATCCACTTGGTACTGCATTACAATTAACTGACAGAAGGGCTTAAGATTATAGCCTCACATTCATCTAATTCAGCTAGTTTATTGAACAAACGGGGGAAGAACAGGGGTTTAGTTACCTTATGGGGTGTCTTGGGGACCTTGCGAGGAGGCTTAGGAGGCGTTAAAGACTCATTAGAAAACCCACTATCATTTCTCAGAATGGACGGCGAATAAGGCGAGTTGGGTGCCGAGTGATCAGTCTTGAACCGCAACATGTTCTTGCTGGGACTCAGAGGCGACGGTACACCACCACCACCACCTGCAGGAGAAAAAGACCCAAAATCAGACCCGAAAAGCTCAGATTTCAACAACCTGGCATAGGCCTCGTTGCCGCCTTCTTTGACGGGCGAGGCCTTGTCATTGAGCCCAAATGTGTGAAGCCTCGAGGAAGATCTGCAAGGTATGAATCTGTCGCTGCAAGTCGAGGACTTGGAGGGGGAAGACAGGTTCGATATCGCCCGAAAAGAACCCGAAAAGGACTCGAGGCGCAGCGACGTCTCGGACATCCCAGTTGGGAGGTTGAGCCCCGGTTTCCTTGTTTGAGGTGAATCCATTGCTGGGTTTTCTTGGATGATCTGATTCTTGGTTCCTTGGAAGATTTGGGTTGTTGGGTCTGAAGAAGAATATGATGATATCATATAGGAAATGTTAATGTAATGAGGTTTGAATGGAGATAGAGGAGGCCAAGAACCAAAAATGGAAGGAAAGGCCTCTCTTTTTCTCTCTGTGTTGTTCAGTGTGGAGGAAGACTTGCAACGGTCGAATATTGGTGGGGTTTATAGGAGCGGTCTTGGTGTTGGGCTTTGCTTTGCTTTTATTTTTTATTTTCAATAAATATTTGTTATTGTAATATTGTACGCTGTCTGTGCAATGTGCACGTACATAAACATAGTGCTCCAACGGTCATTTTCCATTGATCGAGCTGATCTAAAGCTGGCAGTTTGGTTTAGGTACCAGAACCAAGCCCGTTGCTTTGAATTTTATTGATTTTAATTTTTGGCCTCTGGCGCTGCTGAGCCAGAGACGCCAGAGAGAGCTGCCCCCTGCACTTTTTACCATATTTTCTTATATTTTCTTTTGAGGGTTCGTTTTGTGGGTTGGTGATGGAGATGGTTTGAATGAGCCAAGAATCACTCTCGATAGAGATTCTCTAAACTTCACTTCCTAGATTGCCAATATTAACATGTCATATGCATCTACGTTTAACAACTAATAACGCGATAAATTAAGGCAAAGTGTAACGGAAAAAAGAGCTGATTTCAGTGCCATCTAATAATACACATATAATAATAAGTAGGGTGGTGACCAAAACAATCACAATGTGTAATATCGAAATTGGTATCTGCGAACACAGTCTTCACCCTTCTCATAATAATCTTCCTTAGTGAAAGTTTGTGTTGGGAAATGGGAGGCGGCGGCGTAAGCAGAAGCTCCACGCCATGCATCTAGAATTGGATCCAATGCTTTGACTATCCTTATGGGTGAGCCACACGGCCTAATCATCCGGATTCCAGCCTCCAAGCGCTCACTCATACCAGGAAACAGACTACTACCACCAGTCAGAAAAACTGAACTGGTTAGCCTCTCCTCCAGCTCTTGGCCCTTCGTTGGCAGCCTCCTTATCGACACCCCAGCCATCTCATCTAAGCCTGCCTGATCTATCCCAATCCAATTGGGATTAAATAAAATTTCAGGGCATCGAAACCTTTCAACGCCAAAAAAGATTTGAAAGTCTTCCTGGGTGAGCGGACGAAACCGTGGTGCTTCAACGGATTGAGGGTTTGCGGTATCCGTTCTGGGAACAAATGTCGGGTCTACTTCCTGCCAAAGAAAAATTATCCAAAATAAATCATGACGATCAACAGTAGTCACATCCAGCACTTAATTGAACCAAAGAAAAGAGACCTGAAGCCTAGAAGTGAGGCGCGCCAGCTCTGCTTCATGCTCATCTGGTCCCTCATCATCATCATCGTTATCTTTGCTCATGAGTTTGTATAGTTGCCAATCTTCATCTCTCGCACCAAAAGTATCCTCACCCTTGCCTCGATCAAAAGCTGCTGTGGTCAAAAGGCGCATCCTTTCCCTCTGTGCAGCATTTAATCTCTCACCACGCCCAACACTTCCAGAAAAACTATTTCCATTTGTATGTCCCCCATTTGTCTTAAGTCGTTTTCGCTGTTCAACTTTCTCAGAAAGATCTTTATATTTAGCATGCAACTGCTCTAAATAAAGCTCTGGGTTTTCTCTACAACAAAGAGAGAGAGAGAAGAGCATAATTAACAAGGAGAAGGTACACATTCCAGAACTTCTAAAATCATCAGGGGACTCTAGCATACTAAACATGTGTTCAAAAGAATAAGCATTGTTAAAACTCAAGTGTCCTGCAAATTCAGGCAGAATGCTCTATTCCCTTCTTTTATCCTGCTCTCCCTTCTTCATAATATCCCAACTCAACTGAACCTCACAAAACCTTATTTTCAACCCCATGTATTTAACCTTCTCATAATAAATTGAATTTAAAGAAACAAGAATAAAAGCATAATGATGTCAGCACATACAAACGTTTTTGCTCATCTTGTTGATTTCTCCTTCCCCGCTCTAATTCTTCTTCATAACGTTTCTGTTTAGCTCGCTGCCGACCTTCAGATGTGGTTTTGAGAAACAACTGTCTCTTTTTCTCCTTGAGCTGTCAAGAGAACAGTAACAAAGACTAACATCAATGAAGGGAAAACCTAAAGATAAATAAGGAAAAAGCACTAACGCCATCTGGTTGATGCTATCTTCAGATGTTAGGTTATGCATAGACATCAAAACAATACATAAAAGTATCTACTCAGAGGACTTCAGGTATTTTGAGTCATAAATAAATGTTCAGAGCAATGAATTGAGTGCAGATTAAATATATAAATCTTTTAAGTGCAATAGACAACAACTTCAAAATGGTGGGGAGTGTGAAAGACACTTGGCATAAAAGCATACCTGCTCAGGGGTAAGCATGTTGTCAGGGATATTTAAAAGAGGGAACCTTTCGCCTCCTGCAGGATCTGTCTTCTCCTCAAGCTCAGCTTGTTCAGCCTTTGGTTCACCTTTTGCTTTCAGTAAAGATTGTCTCACCTTCACAAGGGCAGATTCTACTTCCTGCTTGGAGACATAGCCAGTGGCTGACAAGAAAGATGGTATATCATGCTCTTCCACCTGCTCAAGCTGCTGTAGAAGAAATTCCAAACCGTGTGATTCATTCTCTAGTTCATTTATCCTAGAAGATCTCTTCGCCTCAGCCATTTCTCGCAATCGTTGACCTTGTTTCTCTTTTATGGCTGCCTTTCTTGCAATCTCTTCTTCAGAAGGGGGCTCCTCAGTAGGTGGTGGAACCCACGGTAGCTGCCATAACCTTGTTTTATCTTCAGCTTCCTTGGTCCCTTTCTGTGAGAAAAAATATCAACTGTTATCCACGAAATTTGGATAGGAGAATGGATTGAAAAAAGAAATCCTCAATACCTGAAATAACCGAGCTTCCGACACATAATCTGGAGCAATGTAACAGTGCTCCATCTTCAGGTCTTCGACTTTCTCCCATGAAAACCTAGCCCTGTTGCATTAAATACGCATAATCCGAAATCTTACCCAAGTGGTCACCATTCAAGTGATGCGAGCGAAACCAACCAAATTCTACTTACATGTGATGAGGGTATTTAAGTGAAAGAAGCTGCTTCATATAATCTGTGATGTGATACCCACCGATGTTAGTTCGGCAGCTTCCTTGATATATAGGTTCGCCATCAATAAACTGGGAATGAAACACAATAATCATGGTCAACCTCTAACAATCAAGAGAGCAGGACTCGCCTGTGTTATCATCCTTGTCAATTTATTATCTATTATGGAAACATATAGATTGGAATTCCATACTGAAGATTTTCTTGAGGCCAATAAGTTTAGATATGTTTGTATAAAACCAAAACTACATATCCCAAAATGAATCATGATGACACAGCTGATTTATAATTATATCTACAATCACACAGAGAAGTAATGCATGCTAAAACGCACATAACTTGACATGCACACCTCAGTCCTGGATATATTTTTTTACCATATGAGTCGTAACGTAAGTTAAACAAATACCAAGACCCAGAAAGAAAGCATACCGGAATAACATGAGTAGTGGTAAATCCAGGACAGATAGCAAGACCATCTTTATCACAAACCCCCTGCTGCTGATTATACTTATAGCTGAATGCAGCATCAACACCATATGCTGTAAGTATGAAAATGAAAAGGAAAAAAATAAGGAAAGAAATATATATAATAAGGGAGCCAAAAATACACAGGACCAAAGACCAGTGTGGAAGCATGTCTGAAGGGGGGTAAAATTTGCAGTGAGTGTTGATACCTATCGATGGAACTCCATATGTCTCAAATAAAAGTTCAGCCATTTTACTACGAGACTGAAATGGGTTGCATACACATTCAGTAATCAGGATCGGATGATCAATCTGTTCTGCCCTCAAATGAACACAAAGTTAAGGAAAAGTTCTTATGAATATATAGACTGATCTGAAATCTTACATTAAAAATAAAAACAAAAAGCATTTAAAATAAATAACTATTCATATGTTTATCACAATATTTTTTTTAAAAAGCAAAAAATATGAACACACTATTGCATATCATTCATGCAAACTAATATTGGCTAACATGAACTAGTCTGCTTATATCATGCCATTTTCATATGGTCTTGAAATGCCACGGATGTCTGAATGTGAACCTAATAACTCATCCATTTAAGGAATCCCACAAAGACTAACAACAATACAAGCACATCGTAGATTCTACCAAGTTACCAACATCACTAGAGAACCAGAACACAAAACATTAAGGCAGATGAAGAACCTAAAGTGTTACGACTGCATGGTGTAACATGTGATGGGAAACAAGCACTTGCCTCAACATAGAAAATAATCATGGTAGAACAAAAAAAAATGGTGAAAAGATAACAGTTAAAAAAAAATCCTTAACAATGGAAGTATAGCAAAACGAATAAATAAACTGTCCAATTTTTATCATACCTGTGATCCATTTGCGCCCAACCGATCAAAGCCAAAGTCAAGAATCTACAGATGCAACAGAATATCAGTGAGGCTACAAATTCACATATTACTGCAAGCATACACATATACACACAAACAAGTAATCTATTTTGAACAAAAAAACAAGAATACATATAAAAAATTATTTTTCTGGTTAAATGTGAATCAGAAGAGGTGGAGCCAGTAATCAAGATATAAACTTTGAATATAACGAGTCAGTAGGCAAGAAAAATCAGAATTGGGTGACCATAGATCATCAGTAAACTTACATATTCCATAATTTCAAACTGGAAAACAACATTGCTGTCAAAAGCTGAGCGAGGTCCGGAGCGTGTGCAATCAAAGTATTTCAACAGTGTAGGATCATGGTCTCCAACTATGGTCACAGTTTCACCTGCGTACAGAATTTTTTATTTTTTATTCAAAAATTTAAAATAAAAATTCGAACTTCAATAATTATACAAAATTACACATGAATGCGCTTCTTGAAACTTGTCAAAAGTGAGTGTACCAGTGGCTTTGTGGCGTGGTCTCTGAACAATGTTGCGGAAGATAACACGAGGCTCAGTTTCTCCCGCCCATCTGAAAATTTGGACCAAAAAAAACAAAGAAATTAGCAGAATGACCAGACACTTATGCACGTAGAAGTTGAATTAGGGTTTTTTGTTGCTCAAATACCCGATGCGAAAATAGGAGGC